CAAACAAATAGAGAAAAACAGCGTTCATCACGAGCTCAAAACAAATAAAGGAATGATTGACGGGACATTTTACACTCTAATGTTTCAATTAAAAGATCAAAAATAAGACGATGAGATAAAGTGAAATAAATGTAGAATTAAATATTGATTGAAATTAGAGTTATATGATATGATTAACATATATGTATCGGATTTGACACGTTTGCGTGGTGTTGTTCTGCAGGACGAGCATCCAGCTGTTCCAGAAGCAGCTGTGATCGGTTTCCCTCATGAGATCAAAGGAGAAGGTGAGAGGTGACTCCCATGATCCTCTGCTTCTCCACCCCCCCCCCCCCCCCTTGCTTTTAAATTAAAACTTTAATAAATATTTTAAAAAAGTGGACATTAAAAAATAAGCTATTAAGAAATTTTTAGAAAACACCCCCCTGAATATTAAAACATCCAAGCATAGAATATTTACACTTCCAAACAGAATGAGATAAAACGTATGAAGACGTGAACGGAGATCCTATTCGAAGAGGATATATATATATATATATATATATATATATATATATATATATATATATATATATCATCAAATAATGTTCTAATTCAGTCAGAGCGACACGTTGTATTTCATCAAAACGAGAAATAAAAGCTGAACTATGAGACTCTGCTGCCCCCTGCTGGTATCTTACCTAAATATACGCATATATAGTACATACAGTATATGTATAGTACAGTAAAAAAGAAAAGTATGTCCTATATTAATAATAAGGAGCAAATCAAAGCCCAGGGATTCATTCATCTAACATCTCTGAGTAATCAATTCATTTATATATAATTTATTCAACCACCGTAGTGTTTTATCGTGTGTGTTTGTGTGTTTCTTTTTCTGTGTGTTTATCTGTGTGTGTTTCACTATGTGTGTGTGTGTGTCCTCAGTACCGTTTGCCTTCGTGGTTTTGAAGGAGGACTTTGGAGTTGACCCCCCCCTCGTCCTGCAGCAGCTCAGAGATCTCGTCTCCACAAAGATCGCCAGATACGCCGTTCCTGAGCACTTCCTGGTGAGGAACACCTGGATGCACACCTGGAAACACAGGTGTTCCAGCTGTTCCAGCGGCTCCTTACACTTGAAAGTATCTCCTGTTGTCCCTCAGGTTGTGAAGAGGCTGCCGAAGACTCGCTCCGGGAAGATCATGAGGCGGATCCTCAGGAAGGTTGCCATGGAGACCACAGGTGACCTCGGTGACGTGTCGACCCTGGACGACCCGTCTGTTGTCATGGAGATCATCGAGGCTCACAAGCAGTATAGAACGCAGAGGGGGGGAGATAAGAAGAAGAACTTCCCGTTGCTGCCTGTTTAAAAGACACAGGGGGGGGAGGGGGGGGGTCATTGGATGGGACCAAGCAGGTCCTCAGGTACGACATCATCGCTCTGCAGGTTGACCCGCTGTGCACACACACAATCTTGTGTCTTCTGTTTGTAACATGTCAAATCCACCGTAAACCTTTTAAAGTGAAAGAAATTATGTGTTTTAGTTTTTAGACTAAAGTCCTCTTTTCTAAATGAAAATCTGAATTTTAACATTTAAAAAATACAAGATTAGAAATGAAATACAGTGTTTCTGCTCATTTTGAAATAGATTGATACAGATGTATTTCATAATAAAAGATAACAACAGACAGAGTTGAAGCTTTTCTTTCTTCTGAAGTTCTTCTGTCTCCTGTTTTCCTCCAGATGTTTTATTTAACTAATTCATGTTTGTGAACATATACATATTTTATATAGAGTTATAGTTTCCAGCTGAAATTATTTTTGAAACATTGTGAATCATCAATGTGAATAAATAAAGATGTATAATAATATTATTTTTATTGATATCATTTCTCACAGTGTTCCGTTATTTTTGCAAAGTCTTGCAAGTTATTTTAACATGTATAATGTTGTAGATATTACACGACTTTGTTATAGTACTTCGCCCTCCGGCCGGCAGGGGGCTTCACTGCTGCTGTCGTAAAGAAAGCCGTAAGTGGAGGCGCGGCAATGGCCGCCCGGTGGACGAGGATCGGACTACGTGCTGAACAGGTGGATGAGTGACGGGTGGATGAGTGACGGGTGGATGAGTGATGGATCAGGTGTGGGTCTCTGTGCAGCAGCTTGTGAAGCGCTTCATGGTGACGTCAGTGACGGAAGTCTGTCAGCGACTTAAAGACAGAGAAGAAGAAGAAGACTCCAGGACGGAGGTCAGTCTGATTCATGTGCAAGTACTCTACTGTAATTTAGTACACGTCTGAGGTACTTGTACTAGAGGATATCATACTTCTCCTCCCTATTCTACTTCATACTGTACTACATCTCAGAGGTATGCATAGTACCTGGTATTGCAGTACATCTCAGATGTACACATAGTACATCATACTGTACATCACAGAGGTATGCATAGTACCTGATATTGCAGTACATCTCAGATGTACACATAGTAATTCACACTCTGAGCCGTTGGTGTTGCAGGAGGAGCTGCTGGCTGTGATGAGGAGGTGCTGTGAGGCTCTGCTGCAGGATCTGAGGAGGCTGCTGGAGGAGAACCAGGAGCAGAAACTAGCATCGTGTGATAAGAGGAGACTCCATGACTCCACCTCCACTGCAGCTAAAGGAGACGCCCAGTTGGAGATGATCCACCAATCAGATGCTCAGACAGGTGAAACCAGCTTCTCCAGACGGACCAACTTGAGCCCCCACCTGCGGGTCCACAGCCGAGAGCGGCCCTTCACCTGCTCCACCTGCGGGAAGTGCTTCTCCGATCGCAGCAGCGTCCGAGTGCACCAGCTGACGGTGCACGGCGATTGTCGTCCCTTCAGGTGCTCCCACTGCGGGAAGCCATTCGGCACCCGCAGCCACCTCAGGGCGCACCTGGCACCTGGCCGGCCGCTCGCCTGCACTGCCTGTGGTGAGACGCTGGCGGCGTGGTGCTGCCAGCGTGCGCACAGGCTCACCTGCCGGGTGACGGCCGGCGGGTTCAGGTGTGCTGATTGCGGGAAGGACTTCTCAAAGCGCAGCTACCTGTCCGCCCACCGGCGGGTCCACCTGACGGAGAAACCCTTCAGATGTCCAACCTGCAAGAAAGGGTTCACCACGCGCCGCAGCGTCCACGTCCACCAGCTGACGGTCCACAAGGGACTAAGGCCGTTCACCTGCGGCGTCTGCAGGAAGACCTTCGGCCAGCGGGGAGGCCTCGCCGCGCACATGAGGACGCACACGGGGGAGCGGCCACACACCTGCGAGCAGTGTGGAAACAGTTTCTCCAGCAGCAGCGGCCTGTCGGTGCACCGCCGCGTCCACACGGGGGAGAAGGGCCCTTCGACTGCAACACTTGTGGGAAGAGCTTCAGCGTAGCGGGCAATCTGCGGCGCCACCGCCTCGTCCACTCGGGCCGCCGCCACTTCAGCTGCGACGTGTGCGGCCGTGGCTTCACGCAGGCGGCGCACCTGAAGGCGCACCGGGCCGCGCACAGCGGCGAGTGGGCGTTCATCTGCGAGGCCTGCGGTAAGGGCTTCGGGCAGCGCAGCGCGCTGCTGGCGCACGAGCGCGGCCACGCCGGCATCAAACCGCACGGCTGCGGCGAGTGCGGGAAGAGCTTCTCCTCGGCCGCGTCGCTGAGACGCCACCAGCTGGCGCACGGCGGGCGAAAGGTTCACACTTGCGACCAGTGCGGGAAGAGCTTCACCAGCGCCCAGATCCTGAAGACCCACCGGCGGCTGCACGCCGGCGGCGCTGCGTTCTCCTGCGACGTGTGTGGCCGCAGCTACAGTTCGCTGGGCTACCTGCGGACGCACCGCCGCAGCCACTCGGAGGGGAAGCCCTTCGGCTGCGCCCGGTGCGCGAAGACCTTCTCGGCACGGGCCAGCGCCAAGCTGCACGAGCGCACGCACAGCGGAGAGAAGCCGTACGTCTGCGAGGTCTGTGGGCGGAGCTTCAGCGCGTCACAGAACCTGGTCAGACACGCACGCGTCCACAGCGGAGAGAAACCCTACGAGTGCGGCGTCTGCGGGAAGAGATTCAGTCAGAACAACAACCTGAAGTCTCACCTGCTGGTTCACTCGGGACTTAAACCCTTCAGCTGCTGCTCCTGCAGCCGGCGCTTCGCCTCCTCCAGGAGCCTCAAAGAGCACAAGTGTGCCTCTGCCGAGGGGGGGGGGGACCTCTGAGGACCTTACATGATGTGGTCTATTAGAGGTGGGGTAGTCTGACCTCATCTGGACTGAGGAGGACATCGAGATGCTTTAGTCTCTGGAAACCTGTCAGTCGCTGTGTAGTCCCGCCCAAAAGCATCCCCTCTTTATGGTCTGTTTGACTCTAAATGGACCATAATCTACTAAATGAACATCATGCTGCATTGAAGACAACTTGAAACTAGAGACTGAGACCGTAAACTCATGTTTACAATGTTTACTCAGGGAATAAATCAAGAGAGAAGTAGAGTCATTTCCTCATAGACGTCTATGGGAGCAGAGGAGTCGCCCCCTGCTGGTCACTACAGAGAAGTAGAGTCATTTCCTCATAGACGTCTATGGGAGCAGAGGAGTCGCCCCCTGCTGGTCACTACAGAGAAGTAGAGTCATTTCCTCATAGACGTCTATGGGAGCAGAGGAGTCGCCCCCTGCTGGTCACTACAGAGAAGTAGAGTCATTTCCTCATAGACGTCTATGGGAGCAGAGGAGTCGCCCCCTGCTGGTCACTACAGAGAAGTAGAGTCATTTCCTCATAGACGTCTATGGGAGCAGAGGAGTCGCCCCCTGCTGGTCACTACAGAGAAGTAGAGTCATTTCCTCATAGACGTCTATGGGAGCAGAGGAGTCGCCCCCTGCTGGTCACTACAGAGAAGTAGAGTCATTTCCTCATAGACGTCTATGGGAGCAGAGGAGTCGTCTGCTCTGATTCAGGCTGATGTTCTTTCATAAATGAATACCACACATGTCGGATGGGGGGCTGAAGGTTCAAAATAAAATGAAATGAATTCACTTGATTGTCATCTTTCAACGTTTGTATGTGTGCTCTATTTAAATATTTATGGTACTTTTTTAAACTTCATTTTTTAGAAAACTATTGGTTGCAGGTATCTTTAACGTGTTTTTTGGTGTTTCACATTTTAAGCTGTGACATTAAATGTCTCCCCCTTTTAAAAGTTCAGCAAAAACTTCAGTTCTTTAACATCAGTTTGTAGTTGTTCAGGAATCAGGAAAGGTGTGTTTCCATAATACGTCAGACATACAAGGAATTTGACTCGGCGCTTGGTGGTAACAGCAGGTCGTACGACAATGGACGACAAGACAACAGTGCAGGAGGAATAAAATAGAATATAAGGCTATGGGTTCGTTTAAAGATAAAGGAATAAAAGCTAAAAGTTACAAATATTTTATAAAGAAAGTGCACCAGCGAACAGAAAGTGACGAGTGAAAGTTTTGCCTTTTTACACTGTCTTAATTTTTTTTATTTAAATTGGATTAATTAGGAATTTATTCATTTTTTTCATCAAAACTTTCAACAGAGAAAAAACGAAGACGTGTTTTCTTTTATTTTGAAGTCCCAAACCGGAAGCTCTCACCCGTCCGCGTCAACAGCTTCGGTATGACAGTCGTTCGGTCCTCTGCGTGTTTAGTCCGTGTGTACCCGGGTTAAACCTCACTACATTGAGCCACCCCGGGCCAACAGCTGACCCGAGCCGAACCGAACCGGGTCAACCGTCCGAGTACTTAGTGCAGCATGAACGAGACGGAGGGGCTGCGCCTCCGAAGGGTGCAGCGACCGCAGGTCATCACCGACGAGCTGCCCGAGCACCGGAACAAGGGATCTGGGTAAGAAAAGGAACCGGGACCACTCCGTGATCCGCATCCCGGGGTGGACTCTAAAACCGAAACACCGAGGCGAAAGTCGCCGTGACGTCACCTTCGTGAGCCGCCGAGGCATCGATCGGTGATCGTTATTATGTTATTAGATATTTACGTCATCGAGCTTCATGCTGGAGAAATTATACTGATGTACCTTTACTATCACTATACTAAATAAGAGGTACTTTACTACAATACCTCTACTCGTCGACGTTTAAGAAGGAAGTATTGTTGTTTTTACTGCTTTACATTTATCGGACAGCTTTAGATACAGATGTGGATTGTTTATCAACTCATAGTGTGTGTTAATGTTTCTCATATGAACCCATTCAAATGAGCTCCAGCGCCAATCAGGAAAGAACATCTGGTTCTGACCAGCAGGGGGCGACTCCTCTGCTCCCATAGACGTCTATGAGGAAATGACTCTACTTCTCTGTAGTGACCAGCAGGGGGCGACTCCTCTGCTCCCATAGACGTCTATGAGGAAATGACTCTACTTCTCTGTAGTGACCAGCAGGGGGCGACTCCTCTGCTCCCATAGACGTCTATGAGGAAATGACTCTACTTCTCTGTAGTGACCAGCAGGGGGCGACTCCTCTGCTCCCATAGACGTCTATGAGGAAATGACTCTACTTCTCTGTAGTGACCAGCAGGGGGCGACTCCTCTGCTCCCATAGACGTCTATGAGGAAATGACTCTACTTCTCTGTAGTGACCAGCAGGGGGCGACTCCTCTGCTCCCATAGACGTCTATGAGGAAATGACTCTACTTCTCTGTAGTGACCAGCAGGGGGCGACTCCTCTGCTCCCATAGACGTCTATGAGGAAATGACTCTACTTCTCTGTAGTGACCAGCAGGGGGCGACTCCTCTGCTCCCATAGACGTCTATGGGAAAATGACTCTCTCTTGATTTATTCCCTCAGTAAACATGAGTTTATGGTCTCAGTCTCTAGTTTCACGTCTTCTTCAATACACCGTGATTTTCATTTAGTACGTAGATAAAAGAAGATTGTGAATCCTAGTGATTAGCATAGCATTGGCTAGCCTTGTGTGTGCTAGGGATTAGTATTGATGACTAGTTCAGCATTGATTGGTTTGTTAATTGAGTTTGTTTAAGGATTTAACCTGATGGTTCCTCTCTCAGCACCTACAGCGGGAAGGTTTTCCAGGTGACTCTGCTCTCTCTGGGCGGATTCCTGCTTCTTCCTCTCCTGGTTATCATCCTCATCATAGAGTCACCCATCCACCCAGAGGTCTTCAGGTGAGTTACTGCACAGCAGGACAGGTCCCATGCCAGAGCTTCTGGAAACACCTGGAGGCTCTGAAGGTTTGAGAGGACCTAAGACGTTTAAATGGAGCAAGTGAGAGCGTTTCACAATAAAGCTGATGTTCTGAGGATGTGAGAACAGGCAGCCACAGGCTGCAGTCTCTATGCGGTTCACCTGGGGACAAAGTGTAGTACTTCCAGAATAAATTGACTTTGTTACGGTAGTATTAGTCCTGTTTTTATAGTACCAATACCCCGACCCTCGGCATGTCTCCTGCTGGTGTGTTTGTGTACTGCAGCCTGAAGGAGCCTCCGCTGATGAAGGGCTGCTGGGAACCAAACCTGAAGCTCCGAGAGGCTGAGAGGCTGTTTGAGGACCAGATCACCGGACCGGAGTCCATCGTCAACATAGGAGGTCTGCAGCAGCCTGCTTTTGTCTGGTCTGGCTTGGTTTGGTTTTTAATAGCTCATAGCTCATTGTATATTTAACTCTAGTTTAGTTGAACTCTAGTTCAGGTGGATTGTGACTGGAGAAGAAACAGTGACCTCTGACTCTTCTGCCGTCCGACATGTGGGGAAGCAAACTGGGGAGTTCCACATGCTGACGGTCAGAGGTCACTCAGCTTTTCTCCCCTTTGAGGCCCCACACTCGTCCAGGCTAAACGTTTCATTTAGTGTAAAACTGGATGATGATAAAGACGTGAAGAAGACTAGAAGCTGATAGATGTTCTTCTCCTCTGTCTGCAGATGTTTTTTATGCCGGAACAGCTGATGGGAAGATTGTGAAGCTGATTGGTCGAAGGATTCACACGGTGACGAGACTCGGAAAGCTTCCCTGTGGTGAGAGAAACATTTGATCCGTTTACGGTTCATTTTAAATACAGCTGCAGGAATGGGAGCATTTCAATTGCCGCCACATGGCTCTCAACATGGCGACGGCGAGCTAGCGGCTTGCAGCTTGCGGTGCTAACAGTGCTAAAGGTGGCGGTAGAGAGGGTGCGCCGGTAACCGCAGGGTTGGCGGTTACAACACCGGCAAGTGTAACTGAGCAAGAGACCCGACCCCCAGCTGTCCCCTGGCAGCCCACTGCTGCTACTGTGTGTGTTTAACCCAGGGAACAAACCCCTGTACGTACGATACAATATGCAATAAAAAGGGCTTCTTCTTTAATTTAACGTTTATGAACCAAAAAGTACTGCAAGTATCATTTCACTTGGAAGTTTACTAAAGTTTAGTTTCATCTGTAGTTTAGTTTAGTTTTTTATTTGTAGTTTGGTTTCATGTGTAGTTGAATCCCTTTTTGTTGACCTGAGTTTAGTTCATTCAGTTGGTAAAACGATCACAGCGACGTGTTGAGACCTGCGCTGACTTCTTCTTCCTGTAGAGCTTCCTGATTTCAACACGAACACACAAACGAGTTCAAGCATCAAACACGGGACGTCAGCGATACAAAAACACAACTACTGCTATCTGAAATAAAATAACGCTTAAAGAGGATCACAAACATCAAGAGATTGTTTGTTGTAAAGCAATGAGTGAGTTCAAGGAAGAAGATTTTATTTTAGAGAGAACTTAGGAACTTGTGGCAGGTCTTCAAACCGTAAACTCCCAGATGACACATCTCTCTGTGACTCATGCGGTTCCAGCCAACAGAACCAGGACAAACCAGGTGGTCTTGTGAGCCTCCTGCTGCTCCTCTGAACCACTCTGCTCCACAGAAGGTCCTCCTTCTCGTTGATCATCTCAATCTTAAGTAGCATGAATGTTTGAAGGTTCTGTGCGGAGAGGAAGGAGGTGGAGGTCAGCTTTGACTGTTTCCTGCAGGCTCCAGAGAGGAGGAGTCCAGCTGTGGGAGGCCTTTGGGGATCCGAGTCGGACCCAATGGGACTCTGTTTGTGGCCGACGCCTACCTGGGGCTGTTCCAGGTGAACCCCACCACAGGTAAGAGAGCTGCTGCCTTGGCAGGACATTCTCCTTCTACTTCTCCTTCTTGCTGTTCTTCAGCTTCTTCTTCTCCTTCTCTTTTCGGTTCTGATTTGACTGCTGCAGATCTTTGGGTCTCTAACTGTGTTTCCTTCCTTTGCTGATGTTCATTATCCGGTGAGTCTTGAGTACTGTTTCACTGCTCTGTGTGTGGAGAAATCCGGTCTTAGTCAAGGTGTTTTTCGGGAGGAATGGCGTCCTCAAAGACGACCCCCCCTTCCGTCCCTCCGGCAGGAAGTCCCCCCCCCGGTGACAGCAGGACGGGGGAGGAGGTGTCTCTGGCTGTCGGTGAGCAGGCCGGACACAATAAGCTGGGATTTTCTTCCATGATGGAAGCGCGAGTTAAAAACAGTGGCTTTGGGGTATAAGGATCCCAAATTGTGGCGTCCAGTCTCCGAGGTGGCAGCTGTTCGTGTTCCTGGACTCCTTGACAGACCCCGTGTCCTTCCGAGTAAAGTACGGAGACAGTGCCTACCTGGTGGACGCTAGCTCCCAAAACGCAGGGGACATGGATGCTAGCTCCACCATGTAGTCTGAGACACGAGCGGTTCTCCTGTCCGCATAGTAAGCAGCCGTCGATGCCCGGCAATGAAGCATCGGTGGTCCAAACTACAGGTAGCGGACCTGTGGTTGAACCGACGGATGATGCACCTGTGGTCGAAACAACGGCTAGCAGACCTTTTGTTGATCCGTTGGATGACAAACCTGTGGTCCAAACTACGACTGGCGAACTGCGGTACTGCAGGCGTGGCTGCTGCTGATGAAGACATTGGAGAGAAAGAGCAGCGCCAAGTGGAGGAACAACAGGTTGATGCTAAAGAGAACAGCAGCGCTCTTACTGAACGACCACAGAAGAAGAAGGCGTGGAAGCAGCAGCTAGTTTGTCCTACAGTCAGCTGTCATGTGGAGACAGGGTCCCTATGTGGAGAGGACATGGAAACTCTAAGAGGATGTCTTCTGGTCTCCTGTCAGTGAGCGGTTCTTCCCTGCTGGAAGCCTCCGCACTGACTACAAGAAGCCATAATAATAAAGTCCAAAACACTCAAGGGCAACCTGGGCAAAGTGGTACATTGAAACCAACCATATTATGTACATTTTCCCCTTGAGAGACACGTCTCTCACTGCCAGGGTCCGTCCGTTTATATCGTCCTCCTATTGTATCTGCGTGTGCAGATGGCGTTTGTGTCTTTGTCAGCAGTCAGAAGGTGCACTTCGCCAGCCCGGTGAGCGACTCAGAGAGACTGGCCACCTGATGACGGGCCGGAGAGACCGCAGCAGCCTCACCTCAGTCAGGCGGATCTATAGAGTCTCTGCCGGCCTGTCCAGAACCCACACAGAGTTTGCGGGAAACTGAACTTTGTGCAACCAGTGGTGTGACGGCTGTGAGCACTGCTTCCCCTCTTTGTCCGTCAGCCAGTCTTTGGGGGAGGGGCAGGAGGGAAGTCAGCTGCTCACCTTCACAACCCCGCACCTGGAGAAGTTCCAGGACAAGGGAAAAAAAGCTGTCCACCACACCTGCGTTTGTTTGTGCTTGCGCTCTTTGGCAGGGATGAAGGACTTGAGGCTGGCGGGTTATTTGGGTCGGAAAGGCGGCTGGCGGTTGTTGTATGAACGGCGCATTGAGCAGCGGGTGCACAGGGCAGAAGCCACTAGTAGGTACAGAGTGCACCTTGATCCCGAGCCGGGGAGGCTGTTTTATTCATCTGTTTGTTCAGTGGACTTGTTTGGTTTGTCTTTTAGTTGGGGGGGTTATGCGCCGTGGGGGAGGAGGGAGAGCTGATCCTTCATGTTTGATGTGTTGTTTCTGTGGTTGGATGAGCTGTTTTATTTGGTTATTTATTTTGGCTTGATGATAGTGATCTGTCCTGGATCAATAAGAAAAAATGAAATCCCCTTCTGCTTCTCCTCTGTGCTTTGATTATGTCCCTTGTGACACGTCTCAGTCTGTCTGTGGATCCCTGTTAGCTGGTTGATTCTTCTTCTCACATTTAGGCACATTTAAATCCACTCAGCATCACAGGTATCAGGAATCAGTTATATTTCAGGCAAGAAGAAGAAGAAGAAGCGTGATTGGGAAGAATCAGTTTCTCTCAGACCGCTGATGTTTGGTAGAACATTTGTTTTTTAATTTTTTAAGTAAAACATTTGTGCTTAGTTTTAGTTTTGATAAATAATAATAATCTCTGGAAAGGAAGAAGCAGAAAACTCACCGGGTTTATTGATGAATTTAAATAGTGTCAAAATGTCAAAACTCGATAACTCCTAATGAAAAGTGTTTTCCTCTCGTCTGAGGTGTAAAAGTTGTTATATTAATAAAATGAAGTGGAATAAATACAACTGATGACAGACATGAAGCATCATGCGACTCATCGTTCACCGAAGAGAAACCGATGTAATGAGACCATCACATCAACACCTGAAGCTCTCTTCTCCATGAACACCCCATAATAACCACATTACAACCATTTGTATGTAACCATGGATACTGGGACTCTGCTGTGTTCCTTTGTGTCAGGTGAGGCAACCCAGTTGGTGTCAGGGGGTCAGGTGGTCGCCGGCAGGAAGCTGTCGTTCATCAACGACGTGGCGGTCACTCAAGACGGGAAGAAGATTTACTTCACCGACTCCAGCAGCAGATGGCAGCGCAGAGACTACATGCACCTCATCATGGAGGCCACGGCCGACGGACGGTAGAAGAGATTATTCAGATTAAGATTGTTTAGATTAAGAGATCAGAGATTATTCAGATTAAGTGATTATTCAGAAGAAGGGATTAGAGATTATTCAGATTACGTGATTATTCAGAAGAAGGGATTAGAGATTATTCATATTACGTGATTATTCAGAAGAAGAGATCAGAGATTATTCAGATTAAGTTATTATTCAGAAGAAGGGATTAGAGATTATTCAGATTACGTGATTATTCAGAAGAAGGGATTAGAGATTATTCAGATTACGTGATTATTCAGAAGAAGAGATCAGAGATTATTCATATTAAGTGATTATTCAGAAGAAGAGATCAGAGGTTATTCATATTAAGTGATTATTCAGAAGAAGGGATTAGAGATTATTCAGATTACGTGATTATTCAGAAGAAGGGATTAGAGATTATTCATATTACGTGATTATTCAGAAGAAGAGATCAGAGATTATTCAGATTAAGTTATTATTCAGAAGAAGGGATTAGAGATTATTCAGATTACGTGATTATTCAGAAGAAGAGATCAGAGATTATTCAGATTACGTGATTATTCAGAAGAAGAGATCAGAGATTATTCATATTAAGTGATTATTCAGAAGAAGGGATTAGAGATTATTCATATTAAGTGATTATTCAGAAGAAGAGATCAGAGATTATTCATATTAAGTGATTATTCAGAAGAAGAGATCAGAGATTATTCATATTACGTGATTATTCAGAAGAAGAGATCAGAGATTATTCAGACGGGGAGATTAAAGATTATTGACCTGATAGTCAAAATAATGGTCAGTGGATGAATTACCTCCAGTGTTGTATTTAACTTGTCTCTAGATTCTGGGTCTTTTTACGTTCTAAACCTCCTCGGTAAAGAAGGTCTGACTTCCTGTTGTTGTTTAGCAATAAGAGCCCCTCGTGTCTCCCGTCAGGGTGCTGGAGTACGACACAGAGAGCAGAGAACTGACGGTGCTGATGGAGAATCTTCGCTTCCCAAACGGCATCCAGCTGCTCCCTGATGAGGAATCTGTGCTGGTGGCGGAGACCACCATGGCCCGGATACGCAGGTTAGCCCACCTGACCCCTTTTATTATGGACTACTGCAGCGGTTGATCCCAGTCCACTTATAGAGACATGGTCCTATACAGTTGTGGTGAAAAGTTTACCTACACGTGTAAAGAACATAATGTCACAGTTATTTCTACAAGTCTGATTTTTCTCTGAGTGAACAGATACTTTGTCACAAAAAACATTCATGAAGTTTGGTTCTTTTATGATTTTTTTTTATTATGGCTTAACAGAAAAAGTGATCAGAAATATACATACAGCCGTGCTAGTACTTGGTCACATGTCCCGTGGCCATTTCCACTTCAATTAGGCGCTTTTGGTAGACGTCCACAAGCTTCTCGTTGAATCTTTGACCACTCCGCTTGACACAATTGGTGCAGTTCAGTTAAATTTGATGGCTTTCTGACATGTTTCTTCAGCATTGTCCACATGTTCTCCATGGGATTTAAGTCAGGACTTAAGCCATTCTAAAACCCTAATTCTAGCCTGATTTAGCCGTTCTATTACCACTTTTGATGTGTGTTTGGGGTCATTGTCCTGTTGGAACACCCAACGGCGCCCAAGACCCAACCGTCAGGTTAATGATTTTAGGTTATCTTGAAGAATTTGAAGGTAATCCTCCTTCTTCATCATCACATTCACACTCTGTAAAGCACCAGTTCCATTGGCAGCATAACAGCCCCACAGCACAATACTACCCCACCGTGTTTGACGGTAGACGTGGTGTTCTTGGGGTTAAAGGCCTCACCTTTTCTCCTCCAGACACATTGCTGGGCATTGTGGCAAACAGCTGGATTTTGGTTTCGTCTGACCACAGAACTTTCCTCCAGAAGGTCTCATCTTTGTCCATGTGATCAGTAGCAAACTTCAGTCGAGCCTTAAGGTGCCGCTTTTATAGCAAGAGCTTCCTTCCTGCACGGCAGCCTCTCCGTCCATGGAGATGCCAAACACTGACCAAAAACTGTTCCAGCAGTTTCTGATTCTTGGCAGATCTTTTTGGTGGTTCTGGGTTGACTCTTCACCCTCCTGACCAATGTTCTCTCAGCAGCAGGTGATAGCTTGTGTTTTCTTCCTGATGGTGACAAAAGAGCGCCGTGCACTTTATGCTTACAAACTATTGTTTGCTCTGTTGCTCTTGGGACCTGCAGCTGCTTTGAAATGGCTCCAAGTGACTTTCCTGACTTGTTCAAGTCAATGATTCGCTTTGTCAGATCCACGCTGAGCTCCTTTGACTTTCCCATTGTAGCGTTTGTGGGTGTTTGTGTCCAATGAGCTCTATTTAAAAGGCCTCAGAGTCACCAGCAGTAGTCACTTATAATCACTCACAAAACGTTAAGAGGCCATGAAGCTCATTCCATTGACACAACTTTCACCAAAATTGCTAATTCATGTTGCTGTACGTATATATTTTTGACCCAGCAGATTGTCACTTTTTCTGTTAACCCATAATAAAGTCATAAAAGAACCAAACTTCATGAATGTTTTTTGTGACAAAGTATCTGTTCCAATCACTCTATCAGAGACAAATCAGATTTGTAGAAATAACTGGAAACTCAAGAGAGCCGTGACATTATGTGTGTGGCCTTGATCTTGATCCCAGTCCACTTATAGAGACATGGTTCTATATGTGCTTCAGTCAGGCGCCACTGGCTTTTTATAAAAAGGCTGAAACCAAGAGTGGAGATGTGGGAGAAGATCCGCTCCTGAGTCTTTGTGTTTCCACGTCAGAGTTCATGTTGCTGGTCTGAACAAAGGCGGCATGGACACCTTTATTGACAATCTACCCGGTTTCCCCGACAACATTCGTCCGAGCTCAACCGGAGGTTACTGGGTGGCCATGTCGTCGGTCCGGCCGAACCCCGGCTTCTCCATGCTGGACTTCCTGTCCCAGAGGCCCTGGATCAAGAAATTCATTTTCAAGGTACAGAGAGAAATTCTAATACAGACTCCCAGGTGTTCTAGTACAGACTATAAGGACAGGTAGGTGTTCTAGTACAGACTATAAGGACTGGTAGGTGTTCTAGTACAGACTATAAGGACTGGTAGGTGTTCTCGTACAGACTATAAGGACTGGTAGGTGTTCTCGTACAGACTATAAGGACTGGTAGGTGTTCTAGTACAGACTATAAGGACCGGTAGGTGTTCTAGTACAGACTATAAGGACTGGTAGGTGTTCTAGTACAGACTATAAGGACTGGTAGGTGTTCTTGATGATTCTCATAACAGGAAACAACTCTGTGAAAGTCTTGTTTGGCCTGCTGACCAAGAGGATTTTATCCCCTGAAAGAGATCTGTCTGCAGACTCTTACCTGAAAACGCACTGGAGGTCTTCCTAGAATGTCGTAGAATGCATTTTTACCAGGATTTTCATTTCATACAGGAGAATATTGAACCAAACAGAAGATCATAGAAGGTTCCTCGCTCCTTCTTCATGCCGTCCCAACCCATCCCTTTCTTCCCTCCTCTCCAGCTCTTCAGCCAGGAGGTGCTGATGAAGTTCGTCCCTCGGTACAGCCTGGTGGCAGAGCTCCATGACGGCGGCATCTGCACTCGGAGCTTCCACGACCCCAACGGCCTGGTAGCGGCCTACGTCAGCGAGGTCCACGAGCACAAAGGGAGCCTGTACCTGGGCTCCTTCCGCTCGCCCTACATCGCCAAACTGGACCTGAGTAAAGTCTAGAGGAAACCGACACGCTGTTGGAACTTGGCAACTCTGTGGGACGTCTGAAGCCGTTTGTCTTCAGCAGTGATGTCATGATGCTCGGGGGGGAGGTGATAAGGTCACAGGTGGTTTGTCAGACTTTGACGACGGTCCGTTATTGATCTAATCGGCATATTTTGAGGGGTTTAACGCGTGATTCCTTTCCAACCTTCATGAATCCGTAGGTTGCCAACAGCAGCGCCTCGTTGTCGCAGTTAAGAATCTGCATTTGTGTTCATGTTTGCTGTTCTGTTTTGGGGACGTCGTGAGTTGTTCTCCAGCTGGGAATCAAATTTGACAAAATTGTATGTGCAAAGTTGTTTTCATATTGTACTGAAGCTCAGGATCTGAGACCCAGCACGAAGATATTTTCAACCAGGTAAAAATAAAAACACCTTTCTAGCTAGCTGAAGCTAATAAAGATAATTAATAGTGGGTTAGCTTGCTCACTGCAGCGCTAGCAAGCTGCCGCTGAATCAATATAGCCTTATAAATGTCATTAGCATATTACATGACTAAATGGGTTAAGCAAAACCAACCAACTTTACAGTACGGAATAAAATTGGCAGCAATGCTTCATGCAGAGAAAACACCATTTAATCATACGTGAATACTTTTACATGTTTCAATTGACTTCATAATTAATACACAGAAACAGCAGGTCGTCTCTCGAGGGACTCGTCTGGGTTAGCATTGTTAGCGCTATCACTGCGATGAGCGGCCATTTCTCACTTGAATATATGAAAGCTTTGGAAATGAGAAGACAAGTGTAACGTAAGTTATTTGTAATTAGAAGGAAGCCGTCAAATTTGCTTGACGTCGATGTTGGTTTGGTTTTTAGACTCTTTTGTGTGATTCAGATAAAACGGGTCAGGAGCCGTAATCACGTCTTGGATATGGATTCAAAACGTGGTTATGTCATGAATGGTCCCGTTTAGCATGAAGTAAAGTAGACACTAGTAATATTTAGCATGATGGCATCTGTACTTCCGCTCACTTCCTGGTAGCTGTGGTTAGAAGTCTAAGCGCCAAGCGGCTTCTCCTCAGAGCGGCTGTGGTAGAACCTGGGTCGGTTCCTTTTCAGCTTCCTTTAAAGAAACTGAATCAAATCTGTGTTTTTGATGAAAACCATTCATTTAAATACATCAATTACTTGTGTGAAAAATCTGATTAAAAAGCTTTTATTGCATCAGAAACGCGTCTGTGGTGGTTTTCATTTTCACCTCAAAAACATTAAACTAATGTTAATAAAGTAAAAGGAATTACTGCTGTGATTATTTTAGACTTTACATGCTGATTTACTGCCCTTTAAAGTTAAACTAAAAATAAATGTAAAGTTTATGCTGTTTTCCTTCTGAGCAGCAGGTGGCGTCATCGACACCCATCGCTCCTTCACCGCTCTGAGGTCAGCGAGTCCATACTTTGTTCGGTGTGAAAGAGGGGGGAACGGGTGGAGGGCACCACCAGCACCATGAAGGCCATGGCGGGTGAGGCTGATGATGAAGGTGGAGGTGGCTTCAGGCTCTGCAGTGGAACACCTGGGTCCTGGTCGCGTTCTGCCAGGAGATCACCCAGACCTCTGTGTGGCACTGGATCGTCTGCAAGAACAGGAAGTTCCACACGAGAGCCTCTAATTGTTGTTTTGGTGAAGTGTCACCATGAGTCCAACCGGCGTAAAGAAACGAGATTAGTAATATAAATATGAACTATTCTGCATAGAACGGATGGTGGGTCTTCTCAGGTCTAAAACAGGTGTGCGGCCCAGGAAGTCGGCGGTGCTCTTCAGAGCTGCACCTGCACACCTCCTGGAGACTCACCTGCTGCAGCCGACCTGCAGGCTGAAGGTCACAGCTGGACAGATTGCTGTTGTTGTCGTCTCGTTTACGGCAGACGGTTCTGGAGATCTCCAGATCTACGAAGTACCGAATCCCCTTGATGATCTATAGTCCAGCACAGTACAAGTACATCAGCGTGTACTGCAGTAAATGTTACTGCAACAAAATACAATCGTTCTAAAGTACTAATTGCCTACCTGCCGCTGTGCTCCGAGGACGGCTGAGGGTTTGAAGAGGAACGCGTCGTTTGATTGGTTGTTGAAGAACTGGGCGGCGGCGAGAACGGCGCGCCGGAGGCCGCGGTCCTCCCTGCTGATGTTGACCGGGGAGCCGGGCATGGAGCGGCCCCGATGGCTGCCCGCCGCCAGCATGGGCTCTGTGAGGGAAGCACAGGTACCTCAGTGAACCCAGCGGCACGAAGGAGATCTGCTTTCCTGTCGGGATCCTCGAGGTTCTCTGGTCTCAGATTTCATTCGCTACGTCTGCTGAAGTTCACTTCCATTAAACCACCTTTCACTTTACTCCTTGATATTTGTGAACTGTTAAACATTGACTCCTTAATGAAGCGGGTGCTGCTTCCTGCTTGTTGGTCCTTTAAGTCACTTCCTGTTGCGTTAAGTGAGCCTGACTTTAGGATCAAAACGTGACTTTAAATCCCTTCACTCCACTTTAGACCGAATCTGCTCTCAACTAATCATCACAACACAACAGTTTGTCGTACAAAGCAAAGCAAACAGGAAGTCTTTTACCCAGCGCAGCGAACAGGGAGACGAGCAGCAGCGTCCTCAGTCCCATCATGCACTCTGAATGCGTCTGCGTGGACTTCCTGTGAGGCGGCGACCACAGATCAGCAAACTGTCACGTTAGTTTCTTCACTCTTCTTAAAGCAGCAGGGCCATTTTGTGTGATGTCACTTCCTTTTAGTTGCTGAGGTCAAACCTCACAGGAAGCCTCTGAACTTAAATCAATTTAAATGTGTTTCACACGGTTTTCTGAATGATTAGTAAGTTTATGCATATAGATTAGATTTAATACTCGTGCTGCAGCTTTCTGAATCAGCTGGAGAGGCGTACGCAGTGACCCAGTCTGGAGGGAACAAGCACGTAAATACTCTGCATCACTTTGAGACACGCGGGTCCTGAGTTTTGATGTACTACATATATGAAGAAAGATTCTGGTGCAGCCGGATACCAGAACAGTTCCATCCAGAGAAACTTTATCAGCGGACTCAGTCGATGAAGAGAACTTCAGGTCGGAGTTCAGCGTCAGGAAGTCGCTGGTCATCCAGGTTTTGAGGTCCGAGTCGGCCTGTAGTCCAGAACACCACCCCGCAAAGCAGAGCATGAAGTGAGGAGTTACATGTACTTAAGTGCCAATAAAAATCATTGATCATACAAAAGAATCGGCTTTTCATAATGATCAATTAAACCAATGCAGCTCAGCTGATGGATGATCGGGTTTGTCCACCCAGCTCGTCCTACAAAGTGGAATCCAAGGAGAAGGTTTGTTCAGCAGCGTTCGGTGATAAAGATGCTTTCATCAGAGACGACTTCCGACTGGACCAACAGGAGCCGCATCCAGATGTGTAGAATTTAACTTCAATATTTACAAGTTTCTGCTTGAAAGAAAAATGACTCATTTATAAAAGTGCTTCTTTATTATGTAAAGTCAAAACAATAAATACAAACATCTGGACCCTGAAGAAGAGAAATATAAAAACTAGTGTTCATGCATAAAGTCATCATCAGCTTTCACGATCACACAGTAACAATACAAATAAAATAACAAATGAAAGATTAAACCTGTTTGTGATGAAGACGTCTCTTAGCTTTTAGTAAAATACAAAACATTAAAGTACAAATTTTCACCATGTGACATAAATAAAGTTATTTAGTGGAACAAAGTGTTTTGAGACGTCAATAAATATTGATCATAAACAGATTTGCTTCTTTCAGCCACCAAGAAGTCAAAGGAAAAAAAAAAAAAAAAAAAAAAAAAAAAAAAACTTCTGTTGAATCGATGGTCATTTATTTAATCATTAAAGCTTCATTCGTCTGTAAACTAATCGGTTTAGTAGTTCAGTAGAAGACACTTGACACCAGATGATGAATCCATTTAAAACAACAAAGTGCTTGATCAGAACCCAAAAGAAGAAATCTGATAACCGAGCCTCGTCGAGTTAAAATGTATATTTTTCTGCTGCAGCTCAAACCAGTTGGACAGCCGAGTGGGCGGGAATTCATTTAAACGAGAATCATCCCGATTCAGTTCAGAGAAGCAGATTCCATCCCCACAATGCACTGCAGGCCGGCCCCTACTCGGCCTTGGTGGTCTTTGGGCGCAGGTACGTCTGGTAGAAGAAGTTGGAGAAGAGCAGCAGGTAGCTGAGGTACATGAGCGCCGCCCAGGCGCAGTTGTCGAGGTGCGACGGGCAGTCGCCGTGTCGCATCCATCGGTACACCAGCCCGCTCACCGCCAGCCCCATGACCATCTGCCCGATCTGAGCGCCAGTGATGAGCGCCGCCAGCGGCCGCGGCACGCGCAGGCCGGCGGCACGCGCCGCGTAGTAGCTGTACATGAGCGCGTGCACGCCGTAGTTCATGGTCATGAACCAGCCGCCGCCGGCCACCATGTCCTTGTAAGAGTACCAGGAGTAGAGCAGCACGGTGATGTGGTGGTACCAGTGCAGGAATAGCAGCTTCTGCTTCCTCAGCACCACGAACACAGTGTCGCCTGGAGAGACGGGGTCAAACCAGACAACTCAGGAGGCCTTCTCCAGGTCACATTATCACATGACCTTACACTCTGAACTCACCGAGCTCCGGCGCCTTGCTCAGGACGAAGGCGTAGGCCCAGAACTTGCTGACGGGGCCGTTGTAGAAGCTCTGGTCGCAGATGGACTGTCTGAAGCCGCTGCCGCTCAGGACGTGGACCATGTAGGAGCCAGTCCGCATCGCTCCGATGATACTGGGGGAGGAGAGGCAGGGAGGTTTTAGTCGCAGACCGCACACTTTGACGCGACGCGTGAACGTTGACCTTGTGGGCGCATACACGGACGTATTTGCCTCAGTTTCAGGGCGGAATTCCAGTGTTCCAGGTGGAGGGGGGCGGCCCCCCCTGGTGTAATGGTACCGGAAACACTGCGGTGAGTTACCTGAAGAGGGCGAGGCTGAGCGACCAGAGGACGAGCGGCCGCCGCAGGTTCATCTTGGGTCGATGCTTCATGTAGTGCCGGCCTCCGAACACCAGGGTGGCGTAGATGGCGCTGAACAGGAAGGACTTACTCCTGCAGGAGAGACCAACGTTTAGAGGCTTTAACTCAACAATAAAATAGAACCTGAAGGTCAGTCCGTTTTAGACTTCAAAGCCAACGAAGTTCTCTAGCAGAAACATTCGCGTTTTGTGTTGAGGCCAAGTCACACCTAGGTTGCCTAGCAACCACAAACCAAAGAATGGTGAATTCACCCGAGGCTCCACCCACTGAGTCACCAGATGTTCCCACTCCACAGATTTATTTTCACGAATCAGTCGCTCTAATGAAACTCTTCTATAGTACAAGTATTTTATGGTTGACCAGGTAAACATAAAAATGTATTATAATAAATAATTTGTGTCTCATATGGTCTCATTTATTTAGTTCTGTTTATTGTCAGGTGAAATATATTGAGTGTCTGGTACATACTTTAACACTTCATCACCTGGGAGTGACGGTGCGGACTAACTGGAATAACCGGGTTTACCGCCGATGCATCAGTGTGACGTAACTCTGCGTCACCCGCTGTACGCCTGTATCATCCAATGAGCGGACTTATCAGAGCTCTCCAATGCCCCCCACCCCACATATTAACGCGCTTATCCCACCCTCATCGCGATAATCAACGTAGCTCCATCCGGTCACGTGAACCGATCACGGCACGAACACAGAATGACCCGCGCGCTCTGATCGCGCCAGTGGAGCATTGCGTTAAAGTATCGATCGAACCGGTTACGGTGAATGTTTGTTAAACGGAGAGTTTCGGTGTCCTGGGTGTGTGCAGAAACGCACACCGGGCCGAACCCCCACGAACCCGCCTTCACGCACGTTTAATGAGTTTTTTATGAAGTGACGGTTATTTTTATGGATTCGGAAAAGTGACCAAATGGCAGGTTCTCCGCTTCTGTGTGGTGATTTTCATCCTCCAAGAAGCTACTGAATCAAAGAGTGAAACATGAACACACGGTGTTCGCCCACCAGTTCGCCTGCATTTAATCAGGATCAGATTGTTCGCTCACCAGTTCGCCTGCATTTAATCAGGATCAGATTGTTCGCTCACCAGTTCGCCTGCATTTAATCGGGATCAGATTGTTCGCTCACCAGTTCGCCTGCATTTAATCAGGATCAGATTGTTCGCTCACCAGTTCGCCTGCATTTAATCAGGATCAGATTGTTCGCTCACCAGTTCGCCTGCATCCACTCGATGGCGCCTCTCTCGTCGAAGCGTCGCTCGAAGCCGAACTCGCTGAGCCGCAGCTCCGTCCCGTTCCCCTCCAGCATGGTGATTGTGGCGTTACGTTTGATACCTGTATGAGCCCGGAGCCTCCGGTCCGCGTCTCCTTCTCTGTCTGTCTGTCCTCGTCCTCCCTCACCGGGCTAATTATAAAGCCGGTTCGCTGGGGGCGGGGCTTAGATGATACACCTGCGTTTTTTTCTCCACCTGAACTTAAATGTTTTTATTCAGTTTCTACTGAACTGTTGTGCTTCTTACTAATTACTTACTGACTGACTATTACCAAAGTGTCGGTTCAGCAAAACGAAAATATTGAACGAATGACTGTTCTACTTTGAGATATTTTGCCTTAGAGTATTATTACTCGTGAAAAGGTTCTACTGAAAAACAACATTAATATCATCATGAATATTAACTCTTCCATTGTTCTGCGCCTGGTGTTCATTTATAAACCCAAAGCACTCACATGAAGAGGGACTCAACTGAAGGTCAATACCTCACACTGAGAGTGGATGTTTCCGACAGACACGAAACTCTTATTCATCTTCAGCTCGGGCTCCATGTGTGTAAGCAGTAGTATTCTGATATGTTATTGTAGTAGTACCACTGTGTAGAAATACATTATTAAGTATATATATATATATATATATATATATATATTTATATATATATATATATATGTGTGTGTGTCAGTCCGTCCCTCAACTCGGTTCCTACTGATCCTATAAATTATATATGTATATATATATATATATAATGTATACACAAATTAAAATACAAATCAACAAAGAGACATTGAGCAGAATAAGTTCACGCTGTTACCATTATTAGGATTTATTTCATTATTTGACAGTCGGTCCCCTCTGACGTCTTCTGACGTGACCGTTACGTCACCACAGCGATGCGGAAGTCGAAGTCACCGTGGAGAACGTAAACTGATGTCAACCACCCGCCGAAAAACAACACCGAGAAGAGGTGCTCGAGAGAGAGAGGAGAGGAGGAGAAGGAGAGGAGGAGGAGGAGGAGAACACGGAGGAGGACGAGAAGAAGTAACGTTAGTTACGGAGCGGAGCTCCGCCGGCATGTAACGTAACTCCGCTAGCCGTTACTCCCGGTCACTTGACCCGTAACAGGCCGTCGGTTCGCCCGGTAGTGAAGCCGTCGCCGATGAATGGACCCCCCGGGTGACGGTAGGAAGCGGCCAGCTAACGTATCGTCGCGTTCGGGGTAAGTGCGGAACTCCTTTGGTGAAACGCACCGCTGTAAACCGTCGGGGATGTTAGCTAGTTTGTATAAACGCTCCTCTGTACTTTAACATCTGTATCGATTGATTGGCGTCTCCTCCTCCCTTCGGCGTGCGTCCTTTAGCAGCATGTGCACCGCGAGCAAAGCGTCTCCTAACGGGGGGCTTCGCACGAGAACCACCGGGAGAGGACGGCTCTTCCGTGTGCCCTCGAGCAAGCTTTACGCTTGTGTTCCAGCGTTCAAACTGCTAAGACAAACTGGTGAAGAGGTCCGAAGTGACCGTGTGTATCAGTCAGGGTGAAGGAGAGGGACGCGTCGGATCGATACTGATTATTGGAAACAAGAAGCTCCTACAGACCGAAAGCTTTTGATTAAAGAGCTCCGGTTTGTTCCTTTGTTCTTTGATCACATCTTTTATCTTATGAGAATAAAGAAGCTGCAATAACCACATTATGTTCAGTATTGATGATATATTGATGATATCAGTCTTTAATATTGACAGTGTTTACCAAACAATATCACGGTAAGTTGACGCCCTCAAATAGATATTTTTACTGTTTTATTTAATTGCAACAAGTCAGGTGCTCAGTTATACATTTTATTAATCTAGAGGAAGAAGAGACACCGATTTCGCACATCGAGACGGGCCAATGAATAGATTGATCAAGGGAATTTTAATAGGTTAATTCAAAATTCAATTAATTGTTGTTTGCAAAGCAAATGAGGGAAATATTTTAAATTGTGGAATCAGAAACCATAACATATTATCTGAAATCCAAATGCCAAATTCTCAGTTTGTAATAATATATATATATATAATATATAACAATATTATTTTTGTCTCACTGAAGACACGATTGTTTTATTTAGAAAAAACAACAACAATAATACTTCAATTTTTGTAAAGATTCATATAAAACCAGCAGTGTGTCAGTCCGTCCCTCAACTCGGTCTGACTTCCTGTCTCAACTCCAAGCTCATTGGTTCCTACTGATCCTTAAAATCACATATTATCAGTAATTCACTGTAATAATCACTCTTTGGTGCTCTCGTCAGTATTATGATGAGTATGAGTAATATGATGTAGCTTAAAATAATTTTCTCTCGTTTTCATATTCTTTTTTTCATTCATTCCTATTTTTCATATGGTTTGATAATATTTTTTTTAAAAGAAATTCCACATATTTTACTTAATAAATATATAATTATAAGTGAGTAAATGTACAAATTGTAGTTATATATATGAAAAAAATGTGTCCGGCTGTGACACGCACATGATTCTTTTATATTTAACTTTATCAAAATAAAACACACAAACACAGGAGTTCATATATTATAAACTCTCCTCCTCTCCTCTTTAGACTTCCTGTCGTTGGCCCACGTGACTCCGCCTCCTGTAACTGAGGTGGTGCAACACACAGACATATACACACACACACACACACACACACACACACACACACACACACACACACTGAGCATAGTGAGTGACTAATGGACAGAGCCACATCCTTGAGCAGGGACCAGTCCATCACATGTCATTTATCTGACGCTTTTATCCAAAGCGACTTACATCAAGTACATCTCAACCATAAGGAAACAAACTCAGAAGAAAAAAAAAACAAGAAAGTGCAATTTCATCCAGGGAGCTGATGTACAACTGTAGATAAGAACCATTATAAGTCCAATGTAAGTGCTACAGTTAGTTAGTGTGTTAGTGGAGGTAGAGTCTGAAGAGGTGTGTCTTTAGTCTGAAGATGTGAAGGCTCTCTGTGGTCCTGATGTCTTCAGAGACCTCCTTCCACCATTTAGGAGCAGGACAGCAAAGAGTGGAGATCTAGTCGAGTGTTTTGCTCTCAGTGAGGAGGAACAAGCAGTTTATCACATGCAGAGCGGAGAGTGCGGGTCGGGATGTCGGGTTGGACCAGGTCCTGGATGGAAGCTGGACCCCGTCCATTCACAGCATGGTACGTGAGCACCATGTTTAGAACTGGCTGAGCCACCGGTACCAGTGAAGAGAGCGGAGGAGTGGAGGAGTGTGGGAGAACTTAGGGAGGTTAAAGACCACTGGAGCTGCTGCATTCGGGATGAGCTGCAGAGGTGGAATGGAGGTAGCAGGAGACCTGCAGGAGAGAGTTACAGTAGTCCAGGAGGGAGATGACAAGAGCCTGAATCAGTACCTCCTTCTGAGTGAGAAGAGAACGTGTTCTCCTCATGTTGTAGAGCGAGTATCTACAGGATGGTGTTGTCAGTGATGTTGGAGTCAGGGAGAGTCGGCTGTCGATGTCACGCCGAGGTTCCTGCAGTAAAGGGGACGTTAACACGGAGTCTCAAAGTTAACAGTCAGGTCCTGGGTAGGAGAATCTTTTCCCAGAAAGAGAAGTAGTTCAGTCTTGTCGGGGTTGATTTTCAGATGGTGGGCGGATCCACTGAGAGACGTCAGTCAGACAGGCAGAGATCCGAGGGAGGGAAGGAGAGAACTAGTTGGGTGTCATTGACATAGCTGTGGTAGGAGAAGCCATGCGAGCGAATGACAACTCTCTCTGGAGAGTTGGTGTAGAGCGAGAAGAGGAGGGGACCCAGGACGGAACCCTGAGGAACTCCGCTAGTAAGTTTCCGACACAGATCCTCTCCAGGTTACCCGTTAGGAGCGGCCATCAAGGTAGGACGAGAGAAGGGAGAGAGCAGACCCTGAGACACCAAGTTCCTGAAGGGAGGAGACAAGGATGTGGTGGTTTACTGTGTCAAATGCAGCAGAGAGGTCCAGAAGGATGAGGACCAAGGAGAATGGAATCTTTGGAAACTTTCATCATCAACTGTAAACCCCTTTACTCCCCCCGTGAGTTTGCTTCATTCATCCTGGTCTGCGTTTGACCGCGTCATGGTCCATCTGATTCCTGCATACAGGCAGAAACTAAAGCTCTGCAAAACTGTGGTGAGGCAATTCAAGAACTGGACCAGTGAGGCGCTGGAGGATCTTTGGGCGTGCTTTGACTGCACAGACTGGGATGTTTTCAGGACGGCTACTAACAATCTGGATGAGTTCACAAAGGCTATAACTTCTTACATCGGCTTCTGTGAGGACAGCTGTGTACCATCATGCACCAGGGTGAGTTACAATAACGACAAACCTGGTTTACAGCGGAACTCAGAAAACTCAGCCTCCCAGACCATCAGCACCGATTCCCCCCAAGGCTACGTTCTTTCCCCTCTGCTCTTCTCCCTGTACACCAACAGCTGCACCTCCAGTCAAGTTTGCGGATGACACCACCCTCATTGAACTGATCTCTGGTGGGGACGAGTCCGCCTACAGGTGGAGTCTGACCATCTGGTGTCGTGGTGCAGCCAGAACAACCTGGAGCTCAACGCTCTAAAGACAGTGGAGATGGTTGTGGATTTCAGGAAGAACAGAGCCCCACCCTCCCCCATCACCCTGTGTGACCCCCCCGTCACTATTGTGGATTCCTTCCGTTTGCTGGGCTCCATCATCACCCAGTACCTCAAGTGGGAGCTGAACATCAGCTCCATCACCAAGAAGGCTCAGCAGAGGTTGTTCTTCCTGAGGCAGCTGAAGAAACTCAACCTGCCAAAGACGATGATGGTCCACTTCTACACGGCCATCATGGAGTCCGTCCTCTGCTCCTCCATCACCGTCTGGTACGCTGCAGCCACAGCCAAGGACAAGGGCAGGCTGCAGCATGTCCTCCGCTCTGCAGAGAGGCTGATCGGCTGCAATCTGCCGTCCCTGCAGGACTTGTTCGCTTCTAGGACCCTGAAGCGAGCTAAAAAGATGGTAGCCGACCCCTCTCACCCCGGACAAAACCTGTTTGTGCCCCTTCCATCTGGCAGGAGGCTGAGGTCCACCAGGACAAAGACCTCCCGCCACACCAGTTTCAGTTTCTTACCGTCGGCAGTCGGGCTCCACAGAGCCCGGTCCCCCACTGACTGACTTTGACATCCCACCGGTTACTTTCTTTGACACCGCACACGTCACTTGTCACTTTCTGTTTGCTGGGGAACTTTATTTTTAATTTTTAAATATTTTTAACTTTTTAAACTTTTATTCCTTTATTTTCAAACTAACCCATAGCATTATATATATATGTGTATATATATATATATATATATATATATATATTTTGCACTATGTTGTCTGATTGTCCATTGTCGTACTGTCTGCTGTTATGCACCAACCGCCAAGTCAAATTCCTTGTATGTCTGATATATTATGGTAATAAATGTTTCCTGATTCCTGAGAGAAGCGGCTCTAGCAGCGTGGAGTCGCTCTGAGACAGCGAGGAGAGCAGTCGCTGTGGAATGGCCTGCTTTGAAGCCTGACTGGTGGGGGTCAAGGAGGTTGTTACACGGACCCAGATCCTCCACAGAGACCAATCCACCATGGACAGACCGAGATCTCCCAGCAGGGACCAGTCCACCGTGGGCCGACTCGGATCCCCTAGCAGAGACCGCTCCACCGTGGACAGACCTACGTTCTCTGCAGAGCTCCTCCCAGGAGGGAAGGGAGGCCCAAAAGAACCAGGACTGACAGGGTCAACCTGTGAGACCTCTGGTGCAGTAGAATGAGGTCTCTGAACGGTGCCCGTAGTCCACAGGGAGGGACGGAAACCAGAAAAATCTGAACCAGAAAAGGTGTATTTTGCGCTTTAACTTTTACTCTCAAACTTCTTGTTCAAAATTTTCTCTTGCTGGTGAAAGAGTGGACGACTGCACCTGAAAGCAGCATGAACCTTGCATCACCTGAACCTACCACACTCCCCTGACTCTTCTACTGCCATTACAGACACCTGAACTCACCACAGACACTAGACTCTACTACTGTCATTACAGACACTTGAACTTACCATGCACAGGTGTGGATGTGGGTGGATTGTGACATCACTGCCGGGGGTGTGGCCATACAGAGTAATGTGCAGTCTGTGTCTTTCCTCTAATACTTTAAATTGTCCTTTTATAAAGCAGCAGGTCACCCCCCCCCTCCCCCCTCACACACTGTAATAACCTGAGCCATCTGTCGGAGATGCTTACCATTGGCCAACAGAAGAAAGGTCTGCAGGCTGCGGAGGACCTGATTGGCTGGCAGCTTGCCCAGAAGAAGGGGAGGCTATGTCAGCTGATTGAAGGAGATCGGAAGAGGAAGAGGAGGAGGCGTCACAAGAGGAGGACAAGCCGAGTGGAGCCCGTAAATCCACGATGAGCCGGCTCTACTGCAGACAACAAGTGTTCAGAGAGGGAGGAGAGCCCCGGCGTCCTCGCTAACCAAGGGGGAGTTGGAGAAAGGAGGTTACCACGGCAACTCGGGGGACGTTGCTGCAGAGGCGTTGTCGCCGAGGACACGGGACACACAGGTGTGTGTGCGTTTGTGTGTGTGTGTGTGTGTGTGTGTGTTGAGCAGTGCAGGCTGGATGGGGAAAGGGGGCGGGAGGGAATCCTATTAGCCGAGTCCAGGAAAAGTAGAGCTAACTGTGTGCTTATCAGTCACACACAGTGTCTCACAGCTCCGTACCTCTGAGGTTTAAATTCATGTGTAATAATTTAGTGACGCAATCTTTAAACTGAGTTCAGATAAAAGCCGATCGATTACCAACAAATAAGATGATTGATCTGACGTTTGGGGCAATTCACAAACCCAACAGTTTATAAGATGAAAGGATTTACTTTAATTAGTTTGATTAGTTTCTCCCAATAATAAATCAAATAATAGGTCAACTTATTAAATTAAGTAAATTAAATGTTTTTGTTGTTTCTTTACTGAAAAATCAAAATACAAAAATGTAATAACACTCAAGGAATCTTAGACAAAAATGGAAGTTTAATATACATATAATATATAACAATAATAGTAATATTAAAATGTTTTAATGAAGAAGAAGGAAAACATGTAGAATGCATCTAAATTGCTATTGTTTACTATCTTTTAAAATATTTGTTCATGAGACTTAATCAACAATTCGAACTGTCCTCCTGCTGGTCCCGCTCTGGACGCCTGCATGTGTAATAGACCTTGAACAGAGTGAAATCCAGAATCCTCTGCTGTCCAGATGTTCAGTCTGCACATCTGCACATTTTGAACTGTGTAGAATAACCTCTGTCTACACCTCTGCTTCCTGTTGCAGGTCAAAGGGACGCTGATGACCTTCTTCACACGGTTTACCGAGTTACAGGAAGGGACTTTGAGTGTCTTGACGGGCCGCGATGTCCCAGGCAGGTAAAGTTCTCCACCTGTACGTCGAGGTCCGTTCCGTCTCCGAGGAGGAACATCAGGTGCCCGGAGGAAGCGATGACGGGACCGCCCACCAGATGCTTCAGTGCTCCAACGTCATCCCTCAGTCCCACAGCCCCGACTGCCGCCAGGCTCCACCCCCTGACCCCTCGTCCCCCTCAAAGTCTTCCTCCAGACACTCCGTCAGCTTCCAACTCCAGAGCCCAGACGACACAGGGTGTCCCACCCAGTTCCACAGGCAAGATCTGTCCCACGAGGGTTTGAGCCAGTTGCCCCAGGTCCTTGCACCCGGAGCAACCGTCCTGGGCCAGAGTGGGTTGCACTTGGGATGCACCTGTCCCTCCGATTGGGCTCCCTCCCGGGAAAAGACGCTCATCTCCCCGTCTGCTACGTCTTCTCTACCCCTCCTGCCCACCGGCCACCGTGGGTCCTTCAAGGTCACGGGTGTCGCGGGCGAGGAGGGGACGACGTCCGTGGTCACTTTTGGCTACATCGAGAAAGCTAATGTTTGCGGCGGAGGGGGCGACCAAAGCGTGCGGGGCAGTCCTCTCCACTGGCTGGAAGAGGGGCGCCGGCTCCCAAAGAGGTTGAGTGACCCGGTGCGGTACGGCGCAATGCCGGGGCACGGGGACCCCTTACCGCCCTCGCGGAGGAGCGGCTCCCCACAAGGCCTGTCTTACCTGCAGAGGGCGAGCCCGGACCCAATGGCCAGAGACGCCACCTGCAGGGCACTGGAGGAATTCGGATCCCCGGGACTCAGGCGCAGATTTGGCGAAAACAACCCGAGGAACTACAGCCCAACCCTGCCGCGGCACTACCAGCACCCCTCCCCCCGCTGCCGGTCTTGGGGGGGGTCCCCCGTCCTGCCCCGCAGCGCCTTCACCCTGCCGGCCAGCGTAGCCTGCCGTGGATCGACGAATGGACTACCCAGAAGCCCCGCCTCCAACCGCCTGTGTTCTCAGACCGGCTGCCCCTCCAACTCGTTAGCCTGCACCTCGTCTCTCTGCTCTCGGGGCTTCCGGGGGGGGGGGCAGAGCCCGAGCTTGTCCAGAAAGTGTCACCCAGCATTACCGGCGGGGAGGCCCACGGACATCCAGCACGAGGTCCCGACTGGCCGGTTCTGCACCGGCAACTATTCCAGTCTAGCCAGCCATTGTACTAGCACCACCAACATGACCCACAATAGCACACAAAGTATACCCTGCAGTAGTTGTGGTGACGTGTGCAGCAGGCACCCCCGCGACTCGGTCAGCCCCACCTACGGCAGGAGGACCATCTCCCCAACCATAAATTCTGAAGTGGCTTGTAAGTTAGCAGTGGACGCCACCAAGCTGTCTACCACGTACGCCGAGAGGCGGACACCCTCTCCAGGGGCGTCCTCCCAGGCCGGGTCACCGAGGTCAGAGACCAGCAATGTCTCCTTCCTGAGAGACTCCGATGACCCGGACCTTCGATGGAAAACGCCTCGAGCCGGACCGGGGCGCGCCTTGCCTCCTCTGACCAGGAAAGGCCCATCATCACCGGCGTCTCCAACCTTGCCTAGTCCGCTGTACCCAACCTCTTCATCTCCATCGACGGAGCGGCATCATCGCCTATGCCACGGACCTGAGGAGCCCCCTGAACCCTCCAGGTCGGCTGTCCACGCCAGCCGGTGGGGGTCGGACGTCAGACCGTTCCGGGACAGGGAGGGATTCGGCGAAGACTGCTTTGGATGGTTGACTCCCGCAGGGTATGCTCTAGGCAAAGAAGAGCGCCGCACGGAGGTCAGAAGAGGCGACGGGGAGAGGGAGGAGCTTCAGGACCACAGTGACCCCGCTGGCTCCGCCTCACGGAGCTCCAGTGGGGTCACCGGCAGCACGGCCGAAAGAAACGGGAGCCCGTCCCTCAAAACCTCGAGCCATTCCAGCCACAACATGGCAGACACGGGCTCAGGGAAGCAGGTCGGAGGGTCGGGGGGGGATTGGTGTGTAGGTTTGTGTGTTTTGTGCAGCGTGAGGGTGTCTTTCTTCCCTCATTGACACATTTACCTCGATGACAGTAAACCGGAAAATAAATCCGAAATCCAGATCCTTCCCCACCGGTGAGTTTCTGTTGTCATGGTGATCGACCTTATCAATACAACAGACTATATTTCCCATGAGCCTTATGGTGCGTTCACACCAAAAGCAAATTATTCGCGCGAGTAGATTCCATGTAACGTCAATGCACAGACGCGGCGTGAATGAGGCGGATTTTAAACAGGCGGCGCAAATGACGTGAAAGACGCGGCGGGTGGGACGCAAAAAAGTGAAACGAGCGAAGCGAATAAACACCGTTTGCGGTTCCGACGTTTGTGTAATTCACACAACAAATAAAGAGCAGGAATTGTGGTTATTTATTGCCATGGTGGATAGCGGAAACGATAACTGCCTTTACGGAAACACGTAACGGAGATAAGCCACGCCCCCTTCCTGGCGCGATGAAGCGAAAAAAATTGTACACGAATGAAGCAAAATACTTGCGCGAGTAAACTTGTGCGAGTAAAGCGGGACAAAAATTCACTTCGCTTTTGGGGTGAACGCACCATTAGGCCCCAAATAAGTAAATAAATAATTTTAACAAGACTGTTTCTTTTTAGTTACTTTCTATTTTACTTTTGCTTCTTTGCTTTTGAGTTTGGCAGCTTCAAAAAATGGACTCGCGTAAGATTGTATTCCCTTTAAAAATGAAGCTGAGGAGAAGTGTTTTCTCTGGGTTTGGAACTTCGGGGGGTTCAGTCACTCGAGCACACAGACATGTTTGTGCCATATTCATGTCAGTGCAGCTGTGCATGGAAAGAAACAAGAAAAATGATACAAATTTTAACATATTATTTACTTTTACTTATTGCACATTTTTTAGGGGTTGGTGGGGGGTGTTATAATGGTTGGGGAAACACTGCATTGGTGAATCAATAACTCTGGTTATTGATCGAGTTGCTTCCCTCTCTCCACCCTCCAGTCAGAAGGCTCCTCATCGTCGCGCTCGCAGAAGATCGCCAGAGCCAAGTGGGACTTCCTGTTCGGGGAGAGAGGTTGTTTACTTTTTATGAATATGTACATAGTCAATAAGACACGGCAAAAGCCAAATCAGCATTGATCGGTATCAGTACTATGTGTAGATGTCCCGGTGTGACATCTTGTCTCCTCTCGGTAAACAAGCAGCTTCGTTACCTTCCAGTCTTCCTCTAAGCCAATTAGCTGAAGCTTAATACAGCTCAACAGGTCTTGGTGTGCAAGTGTTACTACTACTACAACTTCCTGTTGGGTACCAGCATCCTCTCCAGGCATTGGTTTATAACTGTTTAAATACGTCTTGATTCATACTTAGACTCACAGTACAAGGTACTACATGCAACTAACCACACCAGTACATATCAGGAATCAGGAAACATTTATTACCAAAATATGCCAAACATACATGGAATTTGTCTTGGCGGTGTATATGACCAGATGAATGAGCAAGAAAATGTTCCAACTGTTCTCATACAAAATGATTAATTTTACAGAATTTCTTGATATATATATATATATATAATATATATAAAATGTATATTCTTTGGGACATCTTTAGGTCATAAAACTCTTTCCCCCTGCAGAAGCTCCATCTGCGACGCCTCCAGCCAGCAGTTTGCCGAACCCCACCCCTCCCTCCTCCCTCCATCTGAAACCAGCCAATCAAAGGAGGGGGCGGGGCAGCGAGGGTCCAGGACCATTGCATCGCCAGGTGCGGCAGATCGTGGTGGAGCCAGTGAGCCCTGACGCCCAAGGCTCCACCCCCAGGACAGGCATCGTCCGCCACACTCTCCAGTACTCGGAGACTGACTTGGACGCGGTGCCGCTGCGGTGCTACAGGGAGACGGACCTGGACGAGGTGGGCTGAGGTCACGTGACCCACTTCTCCCTCTATGATGGCATCTTCTTGCTGACAACGGTCGTCTTTGTGGTGCAGGTGATGCGGGCGGAAGCTGAGGCGGCAGACGAGGAGGTGGACTCGGCCTTTTGGAGCAACCACAGCGTCCTGGAAAACTCTAGCTGCAGCCCGGCCAACGCCTCCCCTAAACCCCAGACGGGTGGAGACGTGGAGGATGGAGAAGAAGAGGAGGAGGAGGAGGAAGGAGTGGTGAGCTGGGCCACTGTCCGGATGCTCGGAGATCAACAGAGACAAAGGACCACCAACGAAGAAGAGGAGGTCTTCAGTCTGCTGCTGAAGGGGTGAGATCCACCGGCTCAAACTACAGCTCCCATAAGGCCCGAGAGAACAGGAAGTTCACTTCATTATATTTTGTACAGCCCAACATCGCAAATCTGCCTCAGAGGGTTTAACTGTCCCGAAACCCTCACATCGGCACAGGAAAAACTCCCCAAACAAGAAAGATACCTTAGGGAGACAGAGGAGGATCCTTCTGTCAGGAAGACCGACTGCGATGGATGTCATGTGTACAGAATGAACAGCGTAAAACAATAAGTGTCACGTTCTTCTGCTGATCCCTCGATGCATTTTAACCGTTTGCTTAATCGTCCTGGTCTCAGTTTGGTCCTTTTATGGAGTTAAGAATCAATAAAGTTAAAAAGTAATGTAGCTAATAACCACCTCATTGATGATAAACACGTCATCATGTCTGTTTAATGACTCAGGATCAGAAGGATTAGTATCGATCAATGCTGTGGTGGCTTCTCTGACGTCCTGGAGCTGAGGCTGAAGAGTTTCCTCTGCCTCCCACAGGTCGCTGGTGACCTCAGACTCCTGCGACGGCCTCAAGTCTCCGATCTCCATCGGCGGCCCCCGCCGCCCCTCTGAGAGCAACCTGGACTCGTTCAGCCGCCACTTCGAGAGCATCATGGAGTCTCACCGGGCCAAAGGCACCTCCTACAGCAGCCTGGACAGCGTGGACCTCCTGACCTCTGGGTCCACCTCGGTGTTCACCTTCGACCTGCCCACCCTCACGCCTGAGATCCAGGTAGGGAGGGTACGGGGCTGAGGGGGAGGGGCCTGCCTCCACTCGCCCTGTGTGGCCGAAGATAACGTGTGCGTGTCTGTATGTGTGTTCAGAGTCAGATCTGCGAGAGCGCCAAGCAAATCATCGAGCTGAGCTTTGCCCCTCTGGCCCACCCGGACCCGCACGCCCCCCCCTCGGAGACGTCTAGCTCCAACGGGGCGCTCGCCACCTCGGGGGAGGGGCTCCGAGGCAGCTCCAAAGACAACGAGCCAGGCCCTCCGGTCCGCTCCAGGTCGGAGAAGGAGTCAGGCCGTCGCCCCGTCCTCAGGGACGGCTTCCGCAAGGCCAGCTCAACGCCGTCACTCCACGGCAGCCCCAGGTGAGCCTCACTTTCTCAGGTCCATTCATACCAAATATGTCAGACATACAAGGAATTTGACCGGGCGGTTGGTGCGTAGCAGCAGACAGTTGGACAACAAGACAGGGTCCGTGTGCAGTGTGAAGGGAGTGACTGGTGCGATGTCAGAGTCAGTCAGGGGGGGACCGGCTCTGTTGATGAGCCCGACTGCCGACAGGAAGAAACTGTTGGTGTGGCGGGAGGTCTTAGTCCTTAGTCTTAGTCCCCTCAGCCTCCTGCCAGATGGAAGGGGCACAAACAGGTTTTGTCCGGGGTGAGAGGGGTCGGCTACCATCTTTTTAGCTGCTTCAGGGTCCTAGAAGCGAACAAGTCCTGCAGGGACGGCAGATTGCAGCCGATCAGCCTCTCTGCAGAGCGGAGGACACGCTGCAGCCTGCCCTTGTCCTTGGTTGTGGCTGCAGCGTACCAGACGCTGATGGAGGAGCAGATGATGGACTCCATGATGGCATGTAGAAGTGGACCATCATCGTCTTTGGCAGGTTGAATTTCTTCAGAACAACCTCTGCTGAGCCTTCTTCCCCACAAGAGATCAGTCCAATGAGGGTGGTGTCATCCACAAACTTCAGGAGCTTGACGGACTGGTGGTTGGAGGTGCAGCTGTTGGTGTACAGGGAGAAGAGCAGAGGAGAGAGAACGCAGCCTCGGGGGGAACCGGTGCTGATGGTCTGGGAGGCTGAGACATGTTTCCCCAGCTTCACGTGCTGCTTCCTGTCAGACAGGAAGTCTGTGATCCACTTGCAGGTGGAGTCAGGCATGTGCAGCTGGGAGAGTTTGTCCTGCAGCAGAGACGGAAGTCCACAAACAGGATCCTGGTGTAGGTTCCTGGGGGGTCCAGATGCTGGAGGATATAGTGGAGGGCCATGTTGGCCTTTGGGTTTGGCATCACACCTGTTAGCGTGTGCTAACCATGTAGCTGGACTAACGGAACCATGTAGCTGGAGAAGATTTCCCTCGAACCTGTATTCAAGTATTACGGGTGGAGTTCTTTGTGTGCCCGTGTGAAGTGATCACAAGGGATCGACCCATTACCGATGTGGACCCGGTCCGTGGTCCTCCTCCTCATCACCGATGTGGACCCGGTCCGTGGTCCTCCTCCTCATCACCGATGTGGACCTGGCCCTTGGTCCTCCTTTAAAAGGATCATATGACCTCATCCAGTGTTTATGAAGCTTCATTCCTCAAACATGAGGGAGCAGCTGTGAGTCTCAGTGTTCCAGTCTGGAGGAGTTTGTGGTTTCGTTTGGCCTCCTTCCACTGGATCATCTGGCTGCGCACACAAACCATATAATTTTAACTGAAAAAAAGTTTCCTAAATCAACGTCGTCTTCTTCTTCTTCTTCTTCTTCTTCTTCTTCTTCTTTTCCTTTTCCTCCAGTGGAAAGAACCCCCCCCCCCCCACACACTCTCCACAAAATAAAAAAAAGAAAGAAACAACTACTAATTGGCGTTCACACAAGGACTAGTGGGGAAAATCCGGGTTGGGTATCACCCGTTGGTTGTTTAAGACGGTGTGAGGAAAAAAAACCTCTCCCCTCTGTAGAATGTGGACGATCTCCCCGGGGGCTACTTATGGCCTGGGGTGGAGATTTTTAACTTCTTATCCGGGGGCTGTGGAGGCCTAGCCTCGGTGGCGTGTTCGTGGAGAAGAGTTGAGACACCTGGCTTCCGAGTTTAACAACCCCCCCCCCCCCCCCCCCCCCCCACACACACACACACACACACACACACACACACACACACACACACACACACACACAGGCGGAAATTCCAGTTGAGTTCACTCAGGCAGCGTTTCAAAGACGGGTTGTAGAGAAAAGACCTCCCACTCTGTAAGACTAGAGACATTCCCCCAGCCGCCCTCCTCCCGCCTGTGTGGATCTTTTCCATCTGTTCTCTGGGTGCTGTGACCTCTGACCCCCGGCCTGCTTTCACTCGGATGCTGTTGAAACTGCTGGTTCAGGATTTAAAGCAATAGAGATAAAGATTATTTTGTGTGTTTTAATGCTTTGATAATACAGATGCTGCAATTGATTATAGACGTCACTATACAAGTGAAATATATTTTTATATATACCTATTCTTTCAGTTTTTATTTATTTATTTTTTATTATATTAATGTATGCAGTATATTTATACATGTATATTTATTTATATATATTTTCATATGTAGTGTGAAATAGAGTGAAAATTCTTGTTTTTATGAACAAATATAGTCAAAGATCAAAGAAAGCCCTAAATTAATCCTGTTTTTCTGTACAGAACAAAAAGATAAACCTAAAGATCTTTCATTTCCTTTTAATAAATGTTTGTTCTCGCAGTGTCAAAAAAAGTATCGGATATGAAACTTGCAAGTCTTTGGAGTGAAAGGAAGGTAAGAGGAGACAAAGAGAGGAAGGAGAGGACGGAGGGAGGAAGAGGAGTGTCCCGGGTCAAACGTGGGAGGATCACATACCTCCTCCCCCTCAGTGGAGGAAAATACCCCAGCTGATGGACGGACGGAGGACCGTTTAGCAGCGAAGTAGTTGAGAATAAAACGCCAGCGTTGAGATTTATAAAGTGAAGAGGAAAGGAGGAGGAGGAGGGAGGAAAGGGAGGAGGAGGAGGGAGGAAGGAGCTGAGTGAGCAGTGAGCAGGAAAGCTGAAGCAGACGCGGAGGACTGTGAACAGACGGATTATAGGAGGAGAAAAACTCTCAGCCGAACTGGAAAATCACGAGAACTTCACTATGACATCATTGGATTAACGATTGGATGATGTCACTCCGTCACTCCCTTTTCTCCTCCGACGTGGTGGACGTCGGCGGGTTGGCGGCTGCTCTCTCCCTCTGTGACGTCACAGGGTGACAGCCAACATGGCCAGCTACCTACTGTGTTGGGGGGGCGGGGCTCTGGAGGACAGGTACATGTACGCCCCGCCCTACCCGGCCGTGTACAGGTGGGTCCGATGCTTCACAACATTGGGGGGACCTGACAGCATTGAGGCTACTGGTGCTACTGGCGCCAGTGGTGCTACTTATGTTACTGGTGGTCCTGGTCTTACTGGTGCTACTGACGCTAGTGGTGCTACTTATGTTACTGGTGGTCCTGGTCTTACTGGTGCTACTGACGCTAGTGGTGCTACTTATGTTACTGGTGGTCCTGGTCTTACTGGTGCTACTGACGCTACTGGTGTTACTGGTGGTACTAGTGCTACTGGTCTTACTGGTGCTCCTTGTGCTAGTGGTCTTGATGGTGTTGCTTCTGCTACTAGTGCTACCAACGCTACTGGTGCTACTGGTCTAAACCTGGTGTCTGTTGCATACGCTACACACGCTCCTGATGCTACAGACACTTACAGCTACGGACGCTACCGATGCTACAGCAGCTGCATAAGCGTGCGGCTGAGGACGCTGTAGGCCTCAGCATTACCCTTTTAGTCTGCTTGTTGGTTTGTTACTGAATAAGAAACCAAATGTTTTTTATCTAAGTGCTCTTTCATCTTTCTAATTTCTCAATTTCTTCTCCCACTCTATTGGAACATTGAAGCTTTTATTTTCCTATTCGGACCTGCTTTGTGTTGTGTTCTCTCCGTGTTCATCAGGCGGAGGTGCTGTGTGACTCTGATGAGCCCTCTGGATCGTTCTGCTTAATTAAGATCTCTTCTTTACTGAGTTTAAGTTCTTCCAGAGAGCATCTGTTATGCATCAGGTACTGGTTCCTCCGTGAGGCCTGAGGGGAACATGTGAGAGCTAAACTTCTCCTTTCTGACAAAACCCACAGCTGACATCAACAATCTTTGCTTGCTTTCAACCTGATCCCCAACCTTTCAGGTCTGAAAAATATAGCTTACAATAAGTGACGGAACAAGCTCTAAATGGCCACTAGAGGCTCCAACAGAGCTCAATCCCCATTTTACCTTTATGTTTATTTCTGCTGTAAAGTTATTTACAGCCTTTACATAGGTTGTTTTAAACTTTTCAAAATAGTACGTCACAGTTGACGTGGATTACAGTTGCACCATGGTAACGAAGGCGCTTCTGGTTCCAGGAAATCAAGATGGCGACGGCATTGGAGCCGAACTCAATGCCTCAAAATGTCGGGAGACGTCACTGTAACAACATTCACTTAATATGCAGTCTGTGTGGAAAACAAAGGCTCCAAACACCAGCAGTTTACTTTTTGATAGATACTTGCAAATTCAGCAATACCATGACAACCGCCGATGAAGATCACAAGTGATGGTTGAAAGCTCTGGAACCGATGATCAATGAACCAGACGTTTATTTAAACAGTTTATTTTATCTCACACATTCTTCTACCACAATAACTCACTAATTCGTCTGTCGGTAAAAACAGTCCCCAACAAACTTCCTATTTTGTCTGGTTATAAACCTCCATGATGAACTGTGTTTCAGACTCACTACTTGGCTCAGAGTTGGTTGTTGTGGTTTCAGACTGAATGAAAGCTGACTGACACACCCTGTCTCACTCCCCTTTCTATATTCGTTCTTGTTTGTTCCTACTTCCTGTCTTTCTCTCATCAAGTCACAGTCTGAAGGATCTCAGACGGCTTGTTGAATCAGTGACATCATCACCACAGAACCCAGTGTGACGAAACTGAGCAACTCTGCTCAAAATGTCCCAGACACTAATTCAGCTGTACCTCTTTAATATATGATAATTCTCTGCATTTCAGTCTCACATTAATGTACCTTCTTTTTCCTGTTTGGATACAGCTGCTGTTGTTTCTCACATAGAATCTGACATTAGCTGAATTGGTTATGATAGCTGATATTAATTGACGTTAGCTTATGTCTGCTATCATAGTTTACGTTAGCTATCATAGCTGACTTTAGCATAGCTGACTAGCTATGACAGTTCAAAATGAGCTATGATAGCTGACATTAGATGGCTTAAACTAACGCTAGCCGTGGCAGCTGATATTGGCTTTGCATTACGGGCTAAAGGCGCGAGACAGACGGTTGATTTATTTTGCTCATCTTAGTCAAACACGTAGGAATGCATATGATGCAGCATTTAAGTTACGGGGAACCAATCTGAATCTCTATAGAGCACTGGTCCCCAACCACCGGCCCCCGGACCGCTACCGGTCCGTGGGCCGTTTGGTACCGGGCTGCACCACAGAAAGAATATATTTTATTTTTTTTCTGAAAAATGTTTTATTTTGAAAATTGACCGGATTTTCTCCTAATTATGTGCGCTCGTCCCTCTGACAGATTCCCCACGCGTCACCAGGCGTTTTTCTTCACGTACTACACCCCCCGCCCTCCCCCCGTCGTTTGTTCCGCCTGCAACGACTACTACCCTCCCGTTATTCCGTCAGACCTTCTCGACCGGTCCGTGAAATATTGTCTGACATGGAACCGGTCGGTGAGGTAAAGCAGGTTGGGGACCACTGGTATAGAGCACCTTTGGGATGTGGTGCATTCGGGACATTCACATCATAGACGTGCAGCCGACAAACCTGCAGCAACTGCGTGATGTTGTCATACAGTTGTTGTTTGTTTCTGTATTTAGTGAATGCATCTGATAATCCAAATGCTCATACACACACATCTATATATACGAATACATAAATACGTAACTACCGAAGCATCAGTGGTCGGGTCCTGTTGAGTCGACGGGGTCACAAGGGGCTGCTGGATAAACGCAGAGCAGTCGTCCCGTTTGGTGAGCAGGTTATTTCTGTCCTGGAGGAATGCGTTGTGTTGCTGGAGGAAGCCGAAACATCCAGACTCGCACCAGGAAAACCTTCTGCCTCCTTTGTTTCCATGTTTAGTGGAGGCAACAGCAACTAATAACCATTTATTTCTACATACAATTGTAGTAAAACAAGATGCAACTTGATAATATTCTGACATCCATCAATCCAATCAATGTGCAGCTTTCAGTGCTGGGGGCGGAGCCTCCTGAGCCAATACAATGTAGATTTACTTCTGTTAAAGACTATGTAGTCAGTACTTCTGAGCTTGTAACGGAGTACATGGAAGTAGTATTTCAGTGAGACCAGATTACTTGCCCACTGCGGTATTAGTACCTTATTATTTAGGGAAGTGGAGTTCCATCCACTTCCCTAAATAATAAGGACAATAATAAGGACTCGCACCTCCCACTTTCGCTCCCAGCTATGACATCACTTCCTCATGACGGTCGACTTTGTGTTGCTGTCGGTGGATTCCGCTCATAGCTGTGAGGAGGAGCGGGTCGAGTTGACTGTGCTGGTGATGTTGGTCTTGGTGGAGCAGATGGAGCTGGTGGAGCAGTTGGGGGACGGACCTTCAGCAGCAGGTGACGGGTGCGTGCTTGGGGTGATGGGGCTGCATTGATCATTAGCACGTTTATTAGCAGAGTGTCACATGTATCAGGACAGAGACCTTCCATCCCAATGCGGTCGCTCTCTCAGTATTTGGATTCTGACCAGCTGATGAGTAACACAAAATGTCCTGTTTTTCACCACAACAGCTCCCATCATGCATTGGTTTAGGGAGTTATAACCCGAAAGCAGGAACTACTGTTAAAAATACTTTCGCTTTGTTATCTCCTACATCTGAACATGAAAACAGGTCTCGCTGCACTTGGTTCCTGTTTTTTACCGTTGCCATGGAGATCGATGGGGTAACCGTGGTAACGGATGACGATCACCGGGACACTGAAGAAATCCTCTGAAATTGACATTTATCTAAAGTCAGTTCGGTCATTTAGAGCCTGAACTTCACAAGAAGGTTATTGATCGGAGACCAATGAGGTCTTTGAAGTCATGAATGATTAATAAATGGTTATAGTCATACATGTAATCATCTTATTCTACATCCTTTTGATCATGTTCTGTTGTCCACTCAAGTTGTCTTGTGTGCTTTAATTGCTTTTAATCAAGGTTCTTTTTTATTAATTATAAAAAGTAATGCCTTAGTCATTATGATTAATAAAAGAGACTGAGTGTTTATTTATTAGTATTATTAACAGAGAGGAACCAGTGAACTTGGGTTCTTCAGCAGATGGGTTGTTTTATTGTCAGGGAGCGTCCGGTGAACCGCCCCCCCGAGCCGCCGTACCCTCAGGCTGACGCGGCGGAGCGGCTGCCGCTCGGCGGTGACGAGGTTCTTCTGAACGGCAGCAAGGCCGACCTGCAGGCCGCCAGGCGCCTCGCCAAGCGCCTCTACGGCCTGGACGGCTTTCGGAAGTCCGACGTGGCTCGACACCTCGGCAAGAAGTGAGTCCTCGCTCCCCCTGGTTCCCTCGGTTCTTCATTCCCTGGTTCCCTCAGCCTCTCGTCCCCTCGCTCACTAGTTCCCTCCCTCCTCGGTCCCTCCTTTCCTCAGCTTCTCCTTCCCTGGTTCCCTCAGCCTCTCGTCCCCTCGCTCACTAGTTCCCTCCCTCCTCGGTCCCTCCTTTCCTCAGCTTCTCCTTCCCTGGTTCCCTCAGCCTCTCGTCCCCTCGCTCACTAGTTCCCTCCCTCCTCGGTCCCTCCTTTCCTCAGCTTCTCCTTCCCTGGTTCCCTCAGCCTCTCGTCCCCTCGCTCACTGGTTCTCTCCATCCTCTCGTCCCTCCTTTCCTCAGCTTCACCTTCCAAGGATCCCTAAAGATCAAGCACCAGCGATCACTGGTTCTCTTCACACTCTAGTCCCTCCGTTCGTCAGCTTCTCCTGCCCGGGTTCCCTCAGCCTCTCGTCCCCTCGCTCACTGGTTCTCTCCATCCTGTCGTCCCTCCATACCCTCTTCCCACGATGACTTCCTGTTTCTGTCCTCAGCAATGAGTTCAGTCAGATGGTGGCAGAGGAATATCTCAGCAACTTCTCCTTCCGAGGTCTCACCATCGATCAGGCTCTCAGGTCAGTCTGCATTAATGTTGTTTTTAGCTTTATTACATCGTTTCTATTCATGAGCAGATCAGAGATCCATCGTCTCGAAACGTGAGCATGAATGGATCTGATTGGTGGTACTTCTACCATTACTAACACTAGAGTATTTCAAATGGTATTGATACTAAAATTACTCCTACTACTACCAGTACTAGTAGTAGTACTAAAAATACTATTAGTACTACTCTTACTACTAATACAACAACTACTATTATTACTACTAGAAATGATATAACGATCACTACTAGTATTTTTTACAGCTCATTTAGCTGATGCTTTTACCCAAAGAGACTTACATTACATTTTTAACTCACGGCTTTTTACATTTTAGCCCAGGGAGCAATTAGGGGTCCGGTGTCTTGCTCAAGGACACTTTGACATGGGACATGGGGCAGCCGGGGCTCGAACCACCAACCCTGCGGTTCGCAGCGCTCCCTCTGTACCCCTGTGCCACCTGCTTACTGCTTACTGCTCACACGACTATGACTAATAGTATTAGTACTACAGATGATAATACTAGTACTATTACTTCTAGTTTTTCTACTAGAAGCCAACTACGATTCCCAGGATGCATTTCACTGCCACGTTGACGTGTGAAGTGCTAATAAAGTTGTGTGTGTGCAGGACGTTCCTCAATCGGTTCGCTCTGATGGGAGAAACTCAGGAGAGGGAGAGAGTCCTCGCTCAGTTCTCAAGGAGGTACAGGCAGTGTAACCCGCAGGGTGTCCCCTCAGAAGGTACTGTCTGTCCCTCTAACCAGTCTCTCTTTGTCTCCGAACCACCTCCCTCATCTCTAACCCGTCTCCCTCATCTCTAACCCGTCTCCCGTTGTCTGTAATCTGTCCCCCTATGTCTCTAACCCGTCTCCCTCATCTCTAACCCGTCTCCCGTTGTCTCTAACCCGTCTCCCTTTGTCTCTAACCCGTCTCCCGTTGTCTGTAATCTGTCCCCCTATGTCTCTAACCCGTCTCTCTCATCTCTAACCCGTCTCCCTTTGTCTGTAATCTGTCCCCCTATGTCTCTAACCCGTCTCCCTTTGTCTGTAATCTGTCCCCCTATGTCTCTAACCCGTCTCCCTTTGTCTGTAATCTGTCCCCTATGTCTCTAACCCGTCTCCCTTTGTCTGTAATCTGTCCCCCTATGTCTCTAACCCGTCTCCCTTTGTCTGTAATCTGTCCCCCTATGTCTCTAACCCGTCTCCCGTTGTCTGTAATCTGTTCTGTCCACCTATGTCTCTAACCCGTCTCCCGTTGTCTGTAATCTGTCCCCCTATGTCTCTAACCCGTCTCCCGTTGTCTGTAATCTGTCCCCCTATGTCTCTAACCCGTCTCCCGTGTCTGTAATCTGTCCCCCTATGTCTCTAACCCGTCTCCCCCTGTCTCTAATCTGTCTCCCGTTGTCTCTAACCTGTCTCCCTTTGTCCCTCCCTGTCTCTCAGACAGCGTCCACACCCTGACGTGTGCCGTCATGTTGCTGAACTCTGACCTCCATGGGAACGTGAGTTCATCTTTATTATGGAACCTGTTTATTGTGCGTCAGGAGGAGCAGGAACTCCTTATACGGTCCTTACAGGAAGGACAGACAGCGTATTAACAAATGGATTTTTAAGAACAACACATGCGGTGATCCAGACTCGCAGTCTAAGGCGTTCAAGCCGCATTGGAACTGTATTGATACTCATAGATATTATTATATTGATCACACGTGGTTCTTGTCCAGCAAACGTAAACTGAAAGTACTGATTTCATTCTAAAAGGATGATTCTAGAATACCGTATTTTCCAGACTATACGGCGCACCGGATTATAAGATACTGCAGTCAAACGTTTTACCTGGGTTTGCGTTATGCCAGGGTGACCAGACGTCCTCTTTTCCCCGGACATGTCCTCTTTTTCAGACCTAAAAAATGCGTCCGGCAGGGATCCCAAAGACGTCCGGGATTCTGCTTCGTCGTATATCTGTGTTTCTCTCTTTCACAAACTAGTTATTCCGCCCTTCAGTGTTGTGAATGGTGTCTCCCTTACGTTCCACCTTCTTGCGCGAGCTCTGACTGTAGAGAGAACAGTCATTGGTCGACCGACCTCAATGTTGCCAGATACACGATAATTATCCTCCAAATACGACCATTTGGAGCCTTTGGTTCAAAATGCTCGTATTTGCGAGGCTTTTAAGTGCGCCTTATAGTGCGGAAAATACGGTAGTTTAACATTAACAACTCTACAACTGTCGGCAGATGGAGTTGACTCGGTTGCCATGGCAATTAGCAATAGTTCATCTCCAGTTGCATCAGTGTGAACTTGAGGTGGCGGGAAAACGTCTGCCAAATGGTTTGAGGAAGTGATGGACCGTTGCTGTGGCAACAAGCTGTTCACAACAGCTGAGTCACAGAGTGTTTTCACATAATGAGACATTTATTCACCGTGTATTCATCATACAACATGTGATGATGAGTTGAGTCCTGCATTCAGTATCTCGTCTTAACACCTCTGGAGTGCAGAATAAAGTACAAGTACCTCAGACTATGGGAAATGTAGTCTTTATAGGTTAATACAGACTTGTGTGTGTGTGTAGAACGTGGGGAAGAGGATGTCCTGCAATCAGTTCATCACAAACTTGGAGGGTCTCAACGACGGAAGAGACTTCCCCAAAGATCTGCTGAAGGTACGACACACACACACCTCGGGAACCTGCCATTAAACAGACACACACACACACACACACACACACACGCAAACACACACAAGAATCAGGAATCAGGAAACATTTGTTGCCATAAACAGTACAAGAGTAATAAAATAAAATATGAGGCTATGGGTTAGTTTAAAATAAATGTTAAAGTAAAAAAAATGTAATAAAGAATAAAGTGCACCAGCGAACTGGAAGTGACAAAAGTGACAGTGAAAGTGACGTGTGCAGCATGAAGGGGAGTGACCGGTGGAGTGTTATAGTCAGTCAGTGGGGGACCGGCTCTGTTTATGAGCCCGACTGCCGACGGGAAGAAACTGTTGGTGTGGCGGGAGGTCTTAGTCCTGATGGACCTCAGCCTCCTGCCAGATGGAAGGGGCACAAACAGGTTTTGTCCGGGGTGAGAGGGGTCGGCTACCATCTTTGTAGCTGCTTCAGAGACCTGGAAGCGAACAAGTCCTGCAGGGACGGCAGATTGCAGCCGATCAGCCTCTATGCAGAGCGGAGGACACGATGCAGCCTGCCCTTGTCCTTGGCTGTGGCTGCAGCGTACCAGACGGTGATGGAGGAGCAGAGGATGGACTCCATGATGGCCGCACATCCAATTTATTACGCTAAAAATAATCCGCGCTAGTTCATCTCCAACCTCGCCGACGGTAAACGGCTCATCTGTACAACATCTGTAACGCTATTCGCTGCACGTAGCGTAGCTTACACACTGTCGGCCGTAGCGTTCAAACCCGACTACATCGCACTCAAGTAACACAACAACATTAGCAAACCTGAGCCAACCCCCGACCCTCTCGAGTCCTGCCAAGGATGGGTCAGCGCCCTGCTCAGCAACCAGCTGAGACACAGGAAAACTCCCTGCAACACTTCCCTTATCCGCCTGAGACACCGGCTCTGAAGCCGTCCCAGCGCACGCCACCTCGCGGGCCAAGAAGGCTCCAGGAAAATCACGTCCCACCCCACCTGGTTTCGATCTCAGGGGCCCAGGTGACCCCACTGGTGGAGGTACACCTGCATTGGATTGGAAAAGCTGGGCGCACCGCTAGCTCAGCTTCATCCTGGAACAAATCACAATGGAGAATTACTTTATGCACAGGAACCAACATGGCATTTACATTCATACCACGAACAGTAACAAAGCCAGCCGAATAAAGGAGTGAAAAGCACCCGTGTCCCTTGAAATTGTCACTGGCACCTTCATCTCACCTCCTACCATAGACACAAAACCGCCATGGATAAATGGCCGGTAGGCCTCCAACCGTACCTGCCAGCCCAGACCCTCAGGAGCAACGGCTGGAGGAACACGTGCAACTAAACCAACAGCCGTCGCCTGAGAACCATACGCAGCGTGACTGAGTTTCAACAGGACAGTTGACTTTCCAACTCCTCATTTGCGACAATAATTCCAAATCTGCTCCGTACTACGCAGACTACAAATGGATCCATCCAGAACCGTTCCACCCTGCCTGCCCAATAACTCCTTACCCCCAGCAGCACCAAACCCGCCTCCGTGTGTCAGCACGTAACCATCAGCTCACTGATGTGTACAGCAACACACAACGGAACTGACTTTTGAAACTGCTCCAGGACGATGAGATCAGCTAACTGCTCAAACTCATCCACATACGAGGCAGCGCACCATCGAGTGAACTGGACAGTCAGATTACACTCTCAGTCTTGTCCAAGTCCCTAAAACAGTCAGTGTGCACTGCAGCATCAGTGTGCGCACTGAATCTGGCCACTTACGGGCGTCCGCCACCTGCTCAGACAACGAAAAGAATAACTCCGGATCTCTGTGTGTTGTTTTGAAATTCCTAAAACCTACATTTTATATATATAGATAATGTAGGAAAGTGTAACTTTATTCTAATAAAGCTGCGTGGCAGAGCGTCTCTCTCTTAGTCCTCTGTGATTGACAGTTAGAGGTGCGCCGTGGGGGCGGGCCTGAGCTCTGGTTGCTGCACTCTCATTGGCTGTTGCTGCAGAGAGAAAATACGCATTGAGAGAGCAAGGGAGAGAGACGAGCAAGAGAGAGAGACGGGGGAGGGAGGAGGAAGAGCATCACTCCTCAACAGTCTCAGCAGAGGGAGGAAAAGGAGCTCACCTGACGGAGGGATTCTCCTGCAGGACGAAGACGACAACAAGAAAAGGAGGAGGAGGAGGAGAAGAAGAAGAGTGGGAGTGAAGTTGGAGGACAAGGAGAACCACAACTGAGGAGGAGGAAAGAAAAGATTCTCTCGCCTTTTTTCCCAGAGTGCAACAGGAGAAACTCACCTATTTTTGCCATCCCTTCACCCCTCTCGTCTTCATCCCTCCATCAGTCAGTTGTGGCGTCTCCAGAGGAAGCTGTGTTTCAGTGTCGGGGTGCTCGCTTGCTCCGGACCCCCCCCCCCCCCCTCCTGCTCTTTGTGGTGAATGTTTTGGCTGTTTCCTCCGTCATGCAGCTAATTGCAGTCCAGGGTTTCTCCCCCCCGTCGAGAGTCTGAAGCCTCACATCTTTGGAAAAAACGCAGAAGAAGAAGAATTGTGGCTTGGATATTTTTGGATCATGTGTTTTTTTCCTGATTGACTTTGAGCCGATGGAATACGCATCACTGCTTCCAAACCGTTAGAAAGGGATTAAACACACGCACACACACACACTGTCAGGCTGTCGAGGAAAATATTCATCATTTAAAATCATTTATCTTTGTCAAATCGTCTTTCATAAACCTCCTCGACTGGCGTCGCCTGGCGGGCTGAAGACGTTCACGCTGTCTTGAAACTTTTCCACGTCCAGCATCAACTCTCCTAGAATTTTTCTATTTTTAAAGATTTCCGCTGTTTTTTCTTTGTTGTCAAGTTCAGTCAGACTCCGACCTTTGACCTCGGCGCGATGATCGGCGTCAATAGCATCCACTCGTCGGGCCGCTCGCGCTCGCTGTGCTCGGTGCGTAGCGGGCGGGACTCCAGGGACACCGACCCGTTCCGGTATCCCAGAACCCCCCGCTCCCGCTCCCTCAAACCGCTGGCCTTCCCCGACCTGCTGGGGAAGACCCAGGACGGACTCCGGCACCGGCAGAACCGCCAGAAGAAGGTAGAGCTGTTATTTACAGGAAGTGGTCGCAGCAATCTTCAGAGTAAAGGTTCCAGAAGTGAGGAAACGCGAGAACTTTTAAAGTAAACTCAGTTGCCAAGGACGCAGGTATGGACGTGTCAAAATAAAAGCTTAAGAAAGGGAATGCGTACGTCCGTAAACAAAAAGTTTCACAATAAAATCTGCACAAAAAAGAGGATCGTAAGGTTTGTCAATAAAAACATTAAGAATGTCCGTTGAGCTCATGAAAGATTCTCAGTATTTCTCGTCCTCATCATTTACGTCAATTCCTCCGAGTGGGTTTTTTTTCTACTAAATGTCATTTTTCTCAAATAAACTACTTTACCAGCAAAAAAATTCACAATAAAAGTGCGAGGGAGGGGGAGAAATATCTCCGTGCTGGTAGGTCTCTATGTATTCTCCTTTCATGGTCAGATGAAGACCCCATGAAGCACATTTCATTTCTCTGCTGTGGGAAACTTTGGTGCTGAAGGTGTGAAGCTTCCTGTTGAAAGATAGAAAGACGTTTCTATCGACTAAATGTTTCCTTCTTGGTTTGTTGTGATGCTCATTCTAAATTCGTCCTCACAGATTGTGAATGAATGAAGGAATTCCAATCACTTCTTTGTTGGTATATTTTACCTATTGATCGCCTGAGGATTTTCACTCAGTTGTTTCACAATAAAAGCCCTGCATGCTGTAAGGCTTTTATTTTGAAACATCTTTGGGACATGTCAGTTCTATCATCTTACAAAGATTAAATAAATACACTCAAACATGAGTTCAAATGAAGCATGTCATCTAATCATTAGTGGCTAATCATCCAATAGATCATTTCTTTTTCTTCTAATTATTATTATATTTACTTTTTACATTGTACGTCCGTTTTTTTATATAAAACATTTAAAAACTAAAAGTGATTTTAAATTTACTTCAAAACAGCAATTCTCAATCAAAGATGTTAAAAAGGTCCAAAATGAAGACAAAAGAGTTGCTTGTAGTTTATTTCTGCAGATTAAAGTCTGAACGCTGTCCCTCACTGACTGTGTTGTGTCTCTGCAGACGCTCTACAGCTCCATCAAGAACGAGAAGCTCCAATGGACCATGTGAGTCTGCACCCTCGACTGGCTTCTACTGGTTTTACTCCAGACATCTGAAGTGTGTGTGTGTGTGTGTGTGTGTGTGTTTGAGTGTATGTCGCTCTTGCCAAGACTCTTATTTAAGCCTCTGTTGCCACGGCAACGCCTCCCTGCTTTGTTTTCTGACTGTAATTACAGGTCAGCATCCCAACCCTCATGTAGATATATATATGCAACCCTAACCCTTGTTATCTATCTCTACTCATGTGCTTGTTACCATGGTAATCACTGCATGCTCGTTCTGATTGCAGAGACGAGGAGGAGCTGAAGAAGTCCATGTCAGAGCTGGCCGACGTCCGAACAGACTCCGCCTCCCACACCATGAAGCGCCTGGGCGGAGGAGGGAACCTGCTGGTGGGTGTCGCCCAGCAGGCCGATGGCGAGCTCTACAAGAGTGGCTTCCTGATCCGTAAAGTCCACGCCGACGCCGACGGGAGGAGAAGTAGGTCCTGGTGGCTCCTCCTCCTCTCCTTCATTCCCTTCATTCTCTTCTTCTTCTGTATCCTCCTCCTCTTTTCTACTTCTTGATCATGCTCCTCTCCTTCATCTAGCTAGCTACAGCACTTTCAAACATATTATTGGTCGCTATCTGACTTAAATGTGTCTTTATGTCTTTAGAGTTTACTTAGTCTCTATTGATAATTATGTATTTGACTCATGACATGTGGAGTTCCACAAGGCTCACTGCTTGGTCCTCTTCCCTTGAACAACATGGTGCCATGAGAACGCAGTGATAATATACAGACATATATATATATATATATGTCAAATATATATTATATCAAATGTATGTACTACTAATACTGAAGAATCATCATGAAGTATGATGCTGATAAAAGAGGTGTTCCTGTTGGATTTATTAGTTCTCTATTTTGTGGTAAAGGTTAGATGACACGTCTCTTTCCTGCGCTTGTAATGTATGATATCCCATGATGCTTTGTTTCTCCCAGCTGCTCGGGGCAAGAGGGGGTGGAAGTCTTTCTACGCCATGCTGAAGGGTCTGGTGCTCTACTTGCAGAAGGTAAACATCTGAGCAGCTTTTCTCTATGAGGACATTGAGTCTCTTTCTTTCACTGTGTCGCAGATTGAATGAAAATTGACAAGATGACAAACTATGTGGTCATAACAGAAGTCATCTGTTTGCCTTATTTCTACCTTTTTTAGTGAAGTATCTTCATGTGATTTAAATGTGTCACTTCAGCATTCGTCATCACTGAAACAGGACGTTCCTTTTTACATTACGGCGGATGTTACAAGACGTTACAGTACAATACATATCAGTCACATATTTCTTGTGTAAGTGCTGAAAAGGACTTTCTGGGACTTGTGATTGGCTGACTGACTCGCCGCTGCTCTGTGATTGGCTGACAGGATGAGTTCCGTGCAGAGTGCGAGCTGACGGAGGAGGACGTGAAGAACGCCGTCTCCATCCATCACTCTCTGGCCCTGAGAGCCGCTGATTACAGCAAGAGACCCAACGTCTTCTACCTGAGGACGGCCGACTGGAGAGTCTTCTTGCTGCAGGCTCCGTGAGAACCCGTCTGTCTCCTCTCTGTCCGTCTGTCTCCTCTCTGTCCGTCCGTCTCCTCTCTGTCCGTCTGTCTCCTCTCTGTCCGTCTGTCTCCTCTCTGTCTGTCCGTCTGTCCACCGGGCGACTCGTTGGCCGGGCGCCACCTCTCTGTCCGTCCGTCTCCTCTCTGTCTGTCCGTCTGTCCGTCCGTCTCCTCTCTGTCTGTCCGTCTGTCCGTCCGTCTCCTCTCTGTCTGTCCGTCTGTCCGTCCGTCTCCTCTCTGTCTGTCCGTCTGTCCGTCCGTCTCCTCTCTGTCTGTCCGTCTGTCCGTCCGTCTCCTCTCTGTCTGTCCGTCTGTCTGACTGTACTCTGGTGCATAAGTCTTTGACCTCTGACCCTGTAACTGCGTTAGCTTAAAGGTGCAGATGTTAATGGACAAACGCTCACTGCCGTGTCTAATATGTTAATATAAAATATGAATGAACCAGACGTTTGAATGGAACAGGGAACAAAAACACACCAAACAATCAATAAATCCCCCCGACCCCTGAAGTGCGCCGGAGTCTCTGACTGTCCAAACCCGACCAGTGTCAACAGAAACACCCGGTGCTCCTCTCAGCAGCGTAGCCCTCGGTTATTGGCCCTGAAGCCTCAGCGCGCCGTCTGCTTCGCCGTCTGCCCGCACGTCAAACGTCAGGATCACGACGTCCCGCGTCACCTCCCCCCGGTGGCCTCATACGCAGCGGTAAATAATAAATCAATAAACCCTGGTGTGTCCCCACAGCAACGCAGAACAGATGCAGTCGTGGATCACGCGCATCAACGTAGTGGCGGCCATGTTTTCTGCCCCCCCGTTCCCGGCGGCGATCGGCTCCCAGAAGAGATTCAGCCGTCCTCTTCTGCCGGGATCAAACACCAAACTGTCCCAGGTACAAACGTCCGGCCAGATGCTCCTCAGACCCCCGTCACATCGCATCAGCTGACTCCGCCTCTGCCCCCCCCAACAGGAAGAGCAGGTCAAATGTCACGAGAACCGGTTCAGGGCGGTGTCCTCTGAGCTGGCTGACCTCACGGCCTCCACACCGGACCGGAAGGTCAAAGGTCGCGAGCTGGAGGAGCAGAAGCTCCGCCAGGAGTACCTGGACTTTGAGGTATGTCTCCTTCGTCACCGTAACCATGGTAACAGTACATCCAGCCCGACAGACGCGCCCCCCTCCAGGACTTGTAGGTCAAAGGTCGGGATGTACAGTTAAACCGGGATAAAAAGAAAATCCAGAATGTCTGATTTTATAGATTTACAGTTGTGTGAAAAAGTGATTTCTTATTGCTTTGTATGTTTGTCACACATTAAACAAATGGAAATATTAGACAAAGTTAAGTAAACACAATAGCAGGTCCCGTGTGAACAATGATCCCCGTTAAAACATAAATGAACTGTGGTTTATCTTTGGAAAGCTGAGGTCAACTTCTCTAAACACACCTTCTCAATGAAGAAGCCACTTATAAAGAAGCTGACAGCGTGAAGAAGACCAAACGATCCTCAAAGGCTTCGATCCAAAGAAATTCAGGAACAAATGAGAAACAAAGTCACTGAGATCATCATGTGGAAACGGTCTCAAAGGCATTCGTAAAGCTTTGTGTCTCCAGCGAAGCACAAACAGTGGTGAACCTTCTCAGGAGCCCCACGACTCCTCCAAGAGGTCACCAAAGACCCCAGAACAACATGCAAAGAGCTGCAGGCCTCACGGGGTCCATGACTCCACCAGAAGACATAAAAAGAACATCAAGGCTCGTCAGAAGCCAGAAACCATCCTGATCCTGAGGACTTTGGGAAAATACTCAGTGGACCGACTGTGTGTCTCATTAACGCGGGATTTCAGAACAGGAACCTCATACCAACAGTAAAAGGTGGTGTGACGGTCTGCGGCTGTTTTGCTGCTTCAGGACCTGGAAGACTTGCTGTGGTAAATAGAACCATGAATTCTGCCGTCTACCAAAAGGTCCTGAAGGAGAAGGTCCGGCCATCTGATCGTGACCTCAAGCTGAAGAGCACTTGGGTTCTGCAGCAGGACAACGATCCAAAACACACCAGCAAGTCCAAGAAGACCTTCGAGTGGCCTCGTCAAAGTCCCGACCTGAATCCGATGGAGATGCTGTGACGGGACCTTAAAAAGGAGGTTCTTGCTCCGAAGCCCCCGATGAGGCTGCAAAGACGAGTCCAAAGTTCCTCCACAGCTGTAAAGACTCATTGAACAAAACTGCCTTTTGTCTTCACTTGTCTAATATTTACATTTGTGTGACAAACATGCAAAAGAATAAGAAATCAGGAAGGAGGCAAACCCTTTTTCACACAACTGTATTTTCATATTAAAGAGAGCAAGAACGGACTCAGTAGACTTTGTAGTATTGTGCTTGTATTGAAGTGTCCTTCTGACCCGCAGAAGACCCGGTATGGGACGTACGCCATGCTGCTCCGGGCCAAGCTGTCCAGCGGAGACGAGGACCTGGCAGCTTTCGAGTCGCGCCTGTTTGAAGACGGCGGCCTGCAGAGGACGCACTCCAGCCCCACGCTGCCTGTGGACGGCCCCCACAAGGAGAAGAGCCGCGGGGCCGTGACCTCCAAGAGCCTCAAGGTCACGTCGTCTTCGTCCTCCAAGGCCAGTGGCGGCGCTAAAGAGGGAAGCAGGAAGACGAGCGAACCGCAGAAACACAGCAGCAGACCGGAGGAGGGTTAGAGGGTCGGCAAGATGCATCATGGGAAGGAGACAACGGCCTCCTTCTCGACCTTTTCTGTTCTGAGTGGCTCCTCAGAGCCCGGCTGAGAGGTCGAAGGTTGACGGGGGACGAGACGGTCGTTGCCAAGGACGACAAACTCGTTTACAAGTTGAAACATTCAGGAAGCATTAACACGGTTTTTATTTCTCACCCAAACATCTGAGTTTCAGAGTAAGAGCTTGAGTTCCTGTCAGGAAACTTTATTTTGTTAATGAAAGGAGAGCGAGCAGCAGAGACTCACAGGCGCTTTATCGGTACTTATGATCGTTTCCACGCACAGCGACACGCTGACCTCCTGCGGGGGGGTTTCCATGCCGACCAGATAAGACGGTGATGGAGGGGGGCTAACAAGCAGTGTGTGTGTGTGTGTGTGTGTGTCAGAAGTACTACTGTTCATACAGTAGTACTGTGTTGTATGAAAACTATTTAAAGGCTGAAGATGAATCCATCCCATAATTGTCAATCAATGCATACCCCTACTTCACCAATTATATATATACGTGTGTATATGTACATATATACACATATGTGTGTGTATATTTACATATAAATGTACATATATGTGTATGTGTATACATGTACATATACATGTACATATATATATATGTACATATACATGTGTATATATATGTGTATATATATATGTACATATACATGTGTATATATATGTACATAAACGTCCGCGCTGAGACGCCATGTCGTCTTCAGTCTCTTTATTTATTCCGTCTCTCCTTCCTGAGGAGGTTGTAGTCGATAGCCGAACACGCCGTCCACTTCCTGTGTTTTTGTCGTAGTGAAACACAAACGACGCGTGTGATCATTCTGGAGGCTTAGAGGAAAACATGATAATAAAAGAGTTTGAAAACACAAAGGTCCCAGAGTGGTTTTTATTATAAAGTCCAGTCTGAGATTATTTATGTATTAAAGAAAACACACAACAACGGAGAGAAAAGGAGAAACGTTCTAATCATTTTTGTCATAGTTCGAAACCAAAGACACAACTGAACATTAGCAAAAGTTTTACAGATTATTCAGTAAAAATATCACTCAACAACTTCATCGTAACTTTTCTGAAAGTTATTACGGAACATTTTGAACCGATTACAGGTTGTTTGACTAGTATTACAGATTGAAGAAAATGGACAAAAATAAATTAAATAGTAAAATGTACCTCAATACTTTAGACTATTTAACAAATATTATTTAACGGCTTTATTATTACATTTTCTTGAGAAAAAGGTTGACTTTGAAGTAACATTGAAGTAGCATTTCAACTCACCCTAACTTACTTACTAATTGTTTATTTAATTTAAATTTCAGGTAGAAAGACAAAAGTACAAACAATGTTCATGTCTTTTTTTAAATTGATTTGGACGGAAACATTTATCCACAGTTAAAAGTTAGTAAGTTAAAAAAAGTTAAAATCCACAGTAGTTTATTGTTGTTCTACCAAAACATGAAATAGTATTTGTTTCATGAGAGAAGAAGCTGACAGTCGCGCTGCCTTCAATTTCAGACAAGTGAATTGGAATTTAGGCTACTCAAAGTGAAGCAAAGGACAAACTCAGCACACTTTATTTAATTAAAACAGAAGCAGGAAAAACAAAATATAAGTTAATACGAAAAATTACAAAGAACAAAGAAACTGACAAGTTGTCTGTTGCCACTAAAACATTTAAAATGATCAATAATATAATCTTATTTTTTTAGAAAACGGTAAAATGTTCCGTGACGTTTGCAATCTCCGAGTTCATCGTCCTCCCCTTAGAGTCCTGGTCCCCTTAGAGTCCTGGTCCCCTTAGAGGCCTGGTCCCCTTAGAGGCCTGGTCCCCTTAGAGTCCTTGTCCCCTTAGAGTCCTAGTCCCCTCAGAGGCCTGGTCCCCTTAGAGTCCTAGTCCCCTCAGAGGCCTGGTCCCCTTAGAGTCCTGGTCCCCTCAGAGTCTAAAGGGGACCAGGACTCTTAAGAGTCCCAATCCCCATCCCCTGTCCCGGTCCCCCTTAGACTCCCGGGCCCCCAAACAGGTCCCCTTTAGCGTCTCAGTCCTGGCAGGGGGAGATGAGAGTGCTGCTCGAGATGGGATTTTATTTCCAGCTCGTCACTGATTGGCCACAGGCGGCTCCTCCTCTTCGTCTATTGGCTGGCTGCCGAAGCCGCTGTCGACCGTTGCGTCTGATTGGACAGAAAATAAAAGGACTTAAAAAATAAAAGACAAAAAATAAAAAGACTTTTATTTGTCACTTAACCAACACGACAAACTGCTGAAGTTTCACACAGGATCTCATTCACTCGGTTCTACATCTGTAGGGTTCAGGTGGGTCGAGAGGGGGCGGAGCTACCTGTGCTGTGTTTGTCGTCTCGTAGCTCGCTGCTTCTCAGCAGCCTGACTCCTTCTGTCAGACCGAGAGACTGCAAAGCTTCAACCAGACCTTGTACTGGACCTCCACCCAGCTGGACACATCAGAGACAGTTGAGACATCAGGGACGGGTGAGACATTAGAGGCGGGTGAGCGGTGAGACATTAGAGGCGGGTCCAGGCTACCTGGTAGTGCTGCAGCAGCTGGTGGCAGGGTGTCGGGCTGTCCAGGTAAAGGTGAGTCAACGTCATCATCCCCAGCTTCTCTGCTAGTTTCCTCCAGGGGACGTCTCCCACACTCAGCACCTCCACCAGGCGGGACAGCGTGTCCTCGTCCACCCTCGACCCCGCTCCCCCTAAAACCCGTGACATGATGATGTCACCGAAGGGGGCTCATTTCATTGGTTCAGATTGAAGTTTCTGAGTAACGAACCTTCACTGCTGCTTGACTTCATCTTCTTACTGCTGTGAAGACTGGACTTAGGACTCAGTCCAGGGTTCAACAGGATCCTCACCTGAGGGAGGGGAGGTGGGGAGAGGACGGGACAAGGAAACAAGGGGAGAGGAAAGGAGACAGTGAGCTGAACGTCTTTGTGTGAATGCGTTCTGTGCATTTACTTTGAAAGGAAGTACCTTCTGACACCTGGTGAGGTGCAAGGGGGTGTGTCCTCCTGCGGGTCTCTTGCGGGGGTTGATTGGCTGAGAGCAGGCCTCCCGCTCTCTGATTGGTTCGTCTTCGTCCTGCTCCTCGTCTGAAGAGGAGGTGAAGAAGAGCGGCTCGTCGTTCTCCACGTTTTTATCAGCGCCTGAAAAAAGATAATTATGATAATAATACTATGTGTGTATTCATGTTAATGATGTCAATGGATTAGTTTGAATACTTGGTTATACTAATGTACTTTCTCTGTGGTATCAGTGTTTTAGTACTTTATGTTTCTCACCGGCAGCGATGAGCATGGAGCAGAGCGTCGGTGAGCCCAGACCGGCCGCCAGGTGGAGCGGCGTGTTTCCCCCAAACGTGGTGGTGTTAACATCCGCCTTTAACTGCACAAAGCGCAGCGCGAATCACTACAACGTCCCCGGGGGCGCACACGTATGTGTATGTGCAAAACACAACGACATTTACTCCCTACGGAAAGGGGAGGGCCCTACAGCAGAGGCCCTTCTGATTGGACAGACGGACAGGAAATGATACAGGGCTCGGCCATAGCGTCCGCGGCGTCCGCCGGTCGAAGTGTCCGCTGTACCCTGCTCCCTTTTATTTACAACACCTCAATGTAATTTAACAACAGAACACCAGTAAAACAATATTGATTGACAGAATATGTAGATATCTAGACTCACGGTACTTTGAATCCTTCATGTCACTTTCCGTCGCCGGCGAAAGAGTTCGGATTAAGAGGGTGAAAAGATTGACAGTCCGTCTGTCCAATCAGAAGGGTCCGTCCTCTGCTATCTGCTATAAGGCCCTCCCCTTTCCGTAAGGAGTTAATGTCGTTGTGTTTTGCCCTTCAGGGCCACCGTAGTTTACAGGTGTGTGTGTGTGTGAGTCGTACCTCTGTGATGAGAGTACAGGCCACCTTGAACAGGTTTTCCCTCACGGCCAGGTGGAGGGCGGTGTTTCCACTTTTTTGCTCAGGTGCGTTTATCTTGGCTCCGCCCTCAACCAGGAGGCGGAGGCAGCGCTCGCCGTCCCTCCTCACAGAAAGGTGGAGAGGATGGAGACCTGGGACGAGAAAGGTCAGAGGGATCAATAAGTAATGAATATTTCACAGCTGTTATCACCTGATCACCTGATTGCTCTCTAACCGTGATAGTCGGCGGTGTTGACCAGGTGGGCGTGGCGTTCTCCCAGGTGAGCCAGCAGGAGGCGGAGCGAGGCGGTGTCTCCGGCCAGCGCTGCCAGATGGAGCGGATTGCGACCATCTTTGTCCAGCAGGCTGGGGTCGGCCCCCGCCCTTAGCAGCACCTCCAACACCTTCACCTGCCGGGTAATCACCGCCAGGTGGAGAGGAGTCTGCAAACACCACAAGGGGTGGAGTTAGTGGGCAGGTGAGACGGGCGGTTCTACTCGTTAGCTGGGTTAGCATAATGCTACCTGCTGGAGGTGGTTGGCCGTGTTGAGGATGTTCTGCTGCTGGCTGCTGAGCAGAGTGTGGATCAGTTGCTGGATCACACCTGTCTGCTGATGGATGACGGCCAGGTGCAAAGGCCTGTGGGAGAACGGAGCTTTAGACGCGCGTCTCTCCGTCATCGCGACACCAAGGTGAAATAATTAGAGATCTTACGTGTCTCCGTTGCCGTCCTGGACGCCACAGAGGTGTCTCTGGATGGCCAGGAGGACGCGGGCGTCCCCGGTGCTGCAGTACTGCAGCAGGGCTGCAGCCGTCCGTCTGGCGCCCTGAGACGCCCGGCTGTGGAGCGCAGCGGCTACAAGCAGACAAAGCAGTAATCAGACTTTCCTCCCCTGCAGAGAGTCTCCATCGGGACATCGGCGCTCACCGAGCTGGAGCAGCTGCTGCTGGGCCGGCGAGCCGCTGTGTTGCTGGGTAACGCCGGTCTGAGGGTGGGACCCCGACATCTGAGCCCCTCCCCCGAAGCCCGCGAAGCCTTCGGTGAAAAATACTCCTCCATTCATCTGCTGGTTAAACTGGAAGCCTGCAGAAGGGAAGCAAAGGTCCACAGTGAACTTCCGATGCAGCAGGTGTGGAAACGCTGTGGACTGAAGGAAGCGTTTTCAATGGTTCCTTGTTTCAAAGGAAGCTCTACCTCCTCCTCCAGCTCCTCCTCCGAACCCCCCAGCTCCTCCCCCCCTTCCTCCTCCTCTCCAGGGTTCATAGTGAGGCAGTGGCTTCTGCTTCTTCCTCAGCACCTCCTCTTTGTCTGAAAGAGGTTAGACGAGAGCGATGCGTTGAGAGCGACCCTGGACCTGGGGGGTGGAGGCAGACTGAACATGGACCTGGGGGGTGGAGGCGGACTGACCTTGGACCTGGGGGGTGTAGGTGAACTGTTTGGGGTCGCTGCTGTCGCCGGCCTTTTTCCGCTTCAGCTGCAGGAAGACGGTGACGGGCCTCTCGATCTCCGCGGTGTGGTAAGGCGGCGTTCGGAACGAGGACACGGGGGGAGGACACGGGGGGAGGACACAGGCCTGGTTCAGCAACAATACGCTGACACGATTAGTGTCCTAATTTTCCCTTTTCAAGATTGTTTAATCAATTTGAAGCTTTCCTGTGTGTGAATGAGTGTCCTCACACACACACACACACACACACACACACACACACACACTCTGTACCTGTTTGTGAACGTCAGTAGGGGAGAAGTCGCCGAAGGCCTCCCAGCCTCCCTCGTCGTCCTCCTCGTAGAAGCGGATCTCGATGTCGTCTGAGAGGTGCAGCAGAGAGTCACGATGAGGTCGACAGCGACCAACGACCACTAACCGGCGATCACCGCGTCCATCGGCACGACTCTGCTCACCTTTCTGGACCTTGTCACACAGCAGGAAGATCTCGTCTCCTCCGAGCACCGTGCCGCACGTCTTATCCATCCGGGAGATCTTCAGGTTGGAAGCGTTGGGCGACTCTGCGCATAAAGACTCGTTAGAATCGTCCCTGAAAGGAGAGGGCGGCCTCCTGAAGCGCCAACCCTCAGGGTCAGAGGTCAGGGACTCACTGCTGTCGTAGATGGGGTTGGAAACCACAGGCTTCAGGCCTCTGGTGAAGCCTCCGTTGCTGTCCTGCAGGTAGGCGGTGAACTTCAGCCTGACGATGTTCAGGTCCATCACCTTGCCCAGCTCCTTGGCCTCCTTCAGGAGCCCGTTTTCTTCTGAATCTGAAGCACAGCGTCAAGTTTCACATGTGACTTTTCCTTCATGCTGATGGAAGCGAAGCGAATTACACAAACAAGTGAAACGGTGAAACTAAAACCATTTAGTGTCCCAGCGTGTTGTTTACGGTGTGTGTACCTGTGAGGTGGCAGTGTGTTGTGTGAGGTGTGTGTACCTGTGAGGTGGCAGTGTGTTGTGTGAGGTGTGTGTACCTGTGAGGTGGCAGTGTGTTGTGTGTGTACCTGTGAGGTGGCAGTGTGTTGTGTGTGTGTACCTGTGAGGTGGCAGTGTGTTGTGTGTGTACCTGTGTAGTGTGTGTGACTGTGAGGTGGCAGTGTGTTGTGTGTGTACCTGTGAGGTGGCAGTGTGTTGTGTGTGTGTACCTGTGAGGTGGCAGGGTGTTGTGTGAGGTGTGTGTACATGTGAGGTGTGTGTACCTGTGAGGTGGCAGTGTGTTGTGTGTGTACCTGTGAGGTGGCAGTGTGTTGTGTGTGTGTACCTGTGAGGTGGCACGGTGTTGTGTGAGGTGTGTGTACCTGTGAGGTGTGTGTACCTGTGAGGTGGCAGTGTGTTGTGTGTGTACCTGTGAGGTGTGTGTACCTGTGAGGTGGCAGTGTGGTCCCTTCAGTCTCTTCCTCTCGTCCCTCAGCCTCCGGCTCAGAACCTCCACCACACCTTTCTTGGTCACATGGAGGATCCCCAGGTTACTGAATCTACAACATCAACACCAGTAAAATATACCTTCTCTCGTTTCAGATACTACAGATACTTTATGATACATATTTTATATGAATTCTTTATATCCTCAGTCCAAAATACTACCTTTTGAAATGTTATCAGTATGTTTGAACAAAGTCTTATTTCAGTATGTTGAAAGAAAAAAATATTTTAAAAAACACTTTTTTAAATATATATAAAACTATTTTTTTAAATATTAAAAAAAAGAAAAATTTAAACAATTTTAAATAGTGTATTTAAAATTGTTTAAAATTAATTTAACTATATTTCAAAAAGTAAAGAAAATGTAAAATAACATTATGAAGGGAAAAAACTGAAAGTCATATTACAGAATTTTAAAAGAAAAATGAATTGTGCAGCACGTCAAAGGGTTGAAAAAAAGTACAGTATGTTGAAAAATATAAAGACGTCGTCGGATAAAGAATTCCGACGTCCTCGGTAGGAACGCAGGGACCTGATTGGATACTCACGAGGCGGCGAGGTCGTTGGGGCCGATGTCCAGCGTGCACGTCCCGTTCTCAGTGCAGTGACGTCCCACCAGACTGTGAGCGTGGACACTAGGAGGATCCGTGTGGGACACCAGCTGGACCTCCACCCGGGCATGTCCCACGTAGTTATTGATCTGAGACAGGGACACATGTGTCATCAGCCTCGCTGAGCGTCCTCCTCCTCCTCTGTCCCTTTACCCTCAAGCAGAGCTCCTCATGAACACTCTGACATGTGTGTACACGGTGCCTCACACATTAGTGTTAAACTGTTGTCATGTTGATGTCATGTTGTTGTCATGTTGTTGTCATGTTGTTGTCATGTTGTTGTCCGAGTGTTGTTACGCTCTTCGAGTCTTTCCCACCTTCACGGTCGGGTACGTCCTCCTGTTCTTCTCGCTGGAGGCCCCTGGGAGCCCCCCGTGTGACGGACCCTCGCACTCGTAGCGGAAACGAAAGCCCCTCTGGGAACAAAAATACACAACTTCACTTTGGCTTCACAAATGCTTTGATTTCACACGTACTGGAAGTTACTTAGTAATATACAAATATTTGTACTGATCTCAAATAACGATATTCTTTTATTATCCTTACTTTTTACAATATGTTGAACTGACAACTTGATTAAAGTTTTATTTAATCAAAAAGCTTTATTTGTAAAATATAAAACATTCGTATAAAAGGTGAACAGGCTTCTTGTTTTGCTGAATCCTAAAACTACTACAGGTGTTAATTGTATCCCAAGTATTTATTAAAATATTCACCTTGTATTACACTACTTATATCCCTGTATCATAATTGAAATTGATTGTATTTTGTAGTCATGTGTCATACTTCTATAAAACATTCTCTATGGTTGAAATGTCTAAACGGTTCTTTCGATATTGTTCACGTTTCAGCGTCAGGATGTTTCCTCGTTTCGTGTCTTTAGCGGTTTCTCGGTGCTCGGTGGGAATTTCCCCCCCGCTGAATAAAGCTTCGTCTTTTCCCTCGTGAAATGCCGACACGGTGGTTCTTCCTCCACGGAGGAGCTCTGATGCTCATCAGACTGTGGCCTGCAGAAGGTGAGCAGTCGACTCGCTGAAGGAAACTGATCTCTGCTTCTCTGCTTTGAGTTCAACGTAAAACCTGCAAACTAAGAAGCAACAATTCCCTGAATGTGATGTGACTGAGTGACAGCGAGTAACAGGCCGGTCTCACCTGTTTGGGCTCCTCGATGATTTGGATGTAAGGACCGTGAGCTGAAACACCAGAACTTGGTTATTGACGGACGGGTTCTGAGCGTTAAAGCAAAAAGGTGAACGAGGGACTTTCCCCAACTAGTGCGATCTAGAAAGGCCGTTTGTTGAAAACGTACTGGTGGAAACGTTCTTGTCTCCAGGTATGAATGAGACACTAAGTGGAAGTTACAAGGTTCCAGGTGTCGGGGAACCCCCATCGAGAGCTGACGAAGAACCGTCCCTGGTTCCTGTGTAATGTCTCACTGTCTGTCTGCGACTAAATCACCACCAGCTTCTACGAGGACCTGCGGGCTGGACCAACGTCCCATCGAGGGGGGGGGGGGGGGTCACCTGTCTCGGGGATGTAGGGCTCCGTCTTTATGTCCACGGGAGGAATGTAGTCGTACTGCATCAAATTCATCTGCAGCTGAGGAACAAAAACATCTTCAAACATTCACACAGAGAGTTAAGAACTAATCAATAATCAATAAATATCTGGATCTTTATGGTTTCTACGGAAACTTAAAGTCCAGATACAAAATGTCAGGTTGTTGAACAACACGAATAGACTTTAAGAAACACGGAAGTTATTGATCAAACAATGAAAACAAGAGATTATCTGAGGCTTTGTATTAAAAATCCATTATTATGTTTTCATTGATTGAAATCTCCTGTAACAATTTCTCCAGAAATATTATTATTATTATTATAAGAACAAAAGGGCAGGATTAATAAAAATAAAAGACTGTGATAGAAACAGACATGATCATTTACATGTATGATGAAGGAAAGAGACTCACGTCGTTGTCGTACACGTTGTACTGAGCTTCACTCATCCTGCAGGACAAAGAGTGGGGGGCTTTTAATGTGAAAGGGTTCCAACAGGAAACACTCGTCAGTAAAAGTACATGATCAATAAATCATGTGAAATCAGAAAAACACTCGACTGCAAGAGAGTGAATCTCTGTCTGTCTCTCTGTCTGTCTGTCTGTCTCTCTGTCTCTGTCTCTCTCTGTCTGTCTGTGTGTCTGTCTCTCTCTCTGTCTCTGTGTGTCTGTCTGTCTGTGTGTCTCTGTCTCTCCTTTTCTCCCCCCTCCTCCCCCCCGGCCTGTTTTCAGTCACTTCCTGGAAGTGGTCGAGTTGAGGAAAACCCCCAGAATTCCAGATCGGAGGGGGCGTGGCTACTGGTGATGACGTCACTCAGCCGCCCAGAGAAGGAATGAAAAGTGTTGAACCTGAGCTCCATTTGACCTTTATGTTATGAATAAACGTCTCGCTCACCTTTTAACCACTTCAGCTCTTTTAATCACACATTTCTGTGTCGTATCGGTTGAGGTGGTGCTTGTTGAAGGGTGTTTATGTGTTAAATAAAACTAAAGATATGAATCGCATGTAGCTCCTCCCACATCCCTCTTTGTCACAACCACCGCTCTTATTAATGCTGCAGATCAAAAGACTCAAATAGCCACACGGACGATGACATCATTCACTGTGAAGTAGAAACAACTGAACTATCATCACAACGTGTGAGCACAAGCCAGGAGGAGCAGTACCACACCCATAAATCCACATTATATATATATATATATATATATATATATATATATATATATATATACATATTCTAGCTACAGAATGACGTTGTCGCGACAACGAGAAGCGAAGGACGGACATGGACCTGACTCCCTGATGGAGGAAGAGGAAGAGATGCTCGCGTGCGACTCTGAGAACATCTGAATAACTTTTGCCGCCTCCAGGCAGGCGGGACGGCCCCCTGGGGGACAGCGGCCAATCAGGACGCAGAAGAGACTCATTAACATAAAACCCCCGGCAGGTAGGGGAGAGGAGGTTTTGCTTGGGGGTTTTCTGCGTGACCTCTGACCTCTGCAGGAGGCGTTTAAGCCTCTGATGACTCGTCACACGCTTCGCTCTGACGTTTACCAGAACCCGTCAGAGGCCGCGCAGCCACCAGAACTAAAGATGAAAACAACGCTTGGCTCAAAGGTTCCTCGGCGCTCGTCCTAACTATAAACGTGTTGGCAGTATGTCAAATAATCCTTTTCTTAATATCACACAACTGTCGCAATGAGGCTTATTTTAAGTCATAACGTAGAAGATTTCCATTTTTCTGACAGTTTTAGTTACTTTGGATGTTAAAACTCATACTTTATTATTTTAGTCTGGTATTTGTAGTGTTTTGTTTGTTTGTCTCTCTGCCTTTTGTTGATTTATTACATTTTTCTCGTTGACTACGTTCAGAATAAGAACAGATGAAAGGTGTGTAAAACCATCCATCATCATCAACGCGTCTCATCCTTCATCAGGCTCGTGATGGAGAACCGGAGAACCGAGGAGAACATGCAGACTCATTGTGTCTAAAGAGGTTGGTGGAGTCGACCCTCCGTGCTGTGAGGCGACGGTGCTGAACACCACGCGCCCTTTAAGTAAGAAACCAGTAGGGTTCAAAGGAGAAAATGATGTCACACGTTTGATTAACTGGTATTAAGGAAGCGTACCTGAGAGCTCCCGCCATGACAGCACGCTGACGGAGCAGGTGATGGAGGATCAGCGCCTGGCAGGAGGACGATCGGTGCTTCTTCTCCTACAGGTACAAAATCAGGGTTCAAGCACTGCTTAGTGTGTGTGTGTGTGCGTGTGTGCGTGTGTGTGTGTGCGTGCGATGAACTCATATAGTCACACATCGGTGGGAAGTTCCACTCGTTCTCCTCTGTGATTATTTGGAACATATTTGGAAACAACAGGCAGCAGCTTCTGTTAAAGGAACAATCCGACATTTCTCCTCTCCAGCAAGGGGAAAACGTTAGCGTAGCTTTAGCTTAGCACAAAGACTAAAAGCAGGTTGAACTTTGAACCTTGCTGAGCACAACAAATTGTAAAACGTTGAAACCATTAACAAAAACCATGTATAGCTTCTGTAGCTACCAATAGCGATCGATAGCTACTTTTAGCTGATAGCTATTGATAACTACCAGGGAGGGAAAGTGAAACAAAACCAAATTCTGACAAATCTTATTGACTATTAAATATTCATAAACACCAGCTGGAAATAAATGAATCTCCTTTAATCTTATTTTTAGTAAGTGACGTTAAAGCGCTACAGATTCAATCCGAAACATCAGATTCGATTGGCCGGCTTAAAAGTGGGCGGGCTCAGATTGTAGCAAAGCTACGATATTATTGGTGGGACAATTTATTTTGACATCAATGAAAGATATTTCATGCGCGTTTATTTGATCTGGTTTTTAAGGACAGTCTCTCTTCTTTTTTGTTATATGTGTTTATATTTCAACTGTCAAATAACTGTCAAAAACCTCCAAAATAAAAGAAGCTTTTTCTTGGATTAAACTTCAGGATAACTTAAACTAGCCAGGATCCTGTTAGCCTCATCAAAAGGTTTAAACCTGCATTTGTTCCTGGGAATTCTTTGAATTCTTTCTTTATTAGTTTTTTAAAGTTCAACTAAAGACTTTTGTTCTTCATCATGTTGGAAACGTTTGAATATAGTGAGGAAACATAATGAAACATTAAAAACAACAAGATATGTAAACAAAGTGACTAAATAAATGTTTCAGCAATTTCGCTCTCAGTTACACAATCTGAACTGTTTATTTACCTCATCAATAACAAACAATAACTAGAGTAAATACATCTCCTGCAGCAGGTTTTATTATTATTGTGAATCTTAATGAAGCTGTTCCAATCAGAAGAGACAACAATAAAGATGAAAATGTCATAAACGTGACGTGAACTTTAAATAAACATTCTGACATGAATATTAAATAAATAACGTGTAGTCGGACATCTTCTCCTCTGGTTTGTTGTCGTTTTTGCTGATGTTTGATGTGAGATGTGAGATATCATATGCTCGTGTTATGTATCAGGTATCGCTTATCGATTAGATGTCGATCAGGTATCGATCGGTAGATAAGTAGAAAGCGAGCATATAGGTGAGATTTACCTGCAGCGGCTCCGACGTCCGTTTGCCCCAAAAGTTACAAACCCCAGAAGAGTAAAAGTCAAGTCAGCAGCAGCGCAGCCAGGACAACATCCGGTTGGTGCTCTTCAAAATAAAGTTATTTGGAGACGAAACCCGTTCTTTCTTTTTTCTGTTTTAGTCTGACATTTGTTATTTTCAATTTACTTTTGCTACGGCCGTTTCGTATTATAGGCTCTGTAGGCTTTAATTATGTCTTTGAATTTTAAATGTCCCAACTAAAGTAGTAAAGATGCGTGATGAACCCGTGATGAAATACAATACGAGATTTAGTATTATTGTGGAAGTCTCTGTGTTTGTTCGAACACGATTACTAATATAACGTATTATTCCTTTTACTATTTTTATATTTTTCAATTGAGAATTTTTGTAAATTGGATGCATTTTGGTGTCTTTCTTTGCCTATTAAATGTTGGACTTGTTGCCTTCTGTTAATAAATTAGTATTATTAAAAGAAAAGGTAAAAAAATGTTTTTAGCCATATTAAAGAGAATAATATGGATGATTGTTACTTGGTCTAATATGAACTATTATTTGTCTTTCGAGGTTTTCGAGTAAACAGGCACTTTTATATTGAAAGACAGCTTTCTTAACCGGAAGCACCTTGGTGGTGTTGTCAGTCAGTGGAAAGCCCCGGAGCTCGAGGGGAATTCCGGCAGCGTATCACCAATGCAGCTCGCTGATTGGTGGAGGCCGCAGCAGAGCCCCGCCTACTTTGACAAGATCAAATATACTATACTACTAATATATGCATTGATATTACCGAATTACTGCAAATTAGTGAGTTTAGCTAAAAATTAAGTCCTACTTCTGATAAAGTTCTTAATTTAAAGATTTGATAAAAGTAAGATTGTATGGAAGCTCAATAATGTAAATAGTCATGACTAGTCAATATAATGAGATAGTACGTCAAAAGGTATCATTTCATCATTTTAAAACCTCAAATGTTTACTTAGAGGTTCGACACGACAAACAAAGACCGTCACGAGACAACAAACATTCAAGAGGATTCACACATTTAGTGTCACTGAAATAATCAGTGACTGATTTCAGATGAATTATTGACAAAAAAACACTTTAACTTCAGATGAAGAGATGACAAAAACCACAAACTTTTCACACTTGACCATGTGACTTTTATTTGTGCTTTATTTCTGCTGTAACATTCGCACAGAGGAATAAAAAGATAAAGACAAACCAGAGCCGAAGAGCAACAAGGCAGCGTTACCGTGGCAACGCAGACGTCACTCAGCGGCATCAACATCAGCGATATCAAAAATACAAAAAAAGGTCACTGCAGTGGTGAAAGCTTGTTTATAGGAAACGGACAACTCAAAAATAGATTTATTCTTTTTTTCTTGAAAATACAAATCTCAGACCTTAAAACAAAAAAAACGTTTGACGCATTTGTTGTAGAAATTGAGATCGAGACACATTTTACATCTTTTAGATTCTGAAAATGATAAAAACCTGCGTTGCTTCGTGAAGCAGGATACCGGTTGTCACGGCAACGCAGTCATTTGTGACCTCATTTGAATCGCAGTGTTTATTCTTCTTTGAACACGATGCATCTGTTTATGTTACACATAAGAGATCATCACTGAAGTAAACACATCAACATCCCATAATGACCCTTTAATAACCACCACCTGAGTTCCATGTAAACACAAACAAGACGAGTAACAACATTCACCGAGTGGACAAAAGTGACCGCATGAGATTAGATATGGATCAAGAACCAAAATAATGTAACTAGGATCATGATGAACTTCAGGATAAACCGATCAATAATCCAATAATGGATCACACATCTGATCACTTCTGGCCACTAACAGTGAAAAGCTTTTATATATATTCAAAAATGTCCCATAGAAACTTTTATATTTATGCTTATATTTTATAAAAACACGCCTATAAAGCTGTGAAACCGGAAAGTCCTTTGGTTGAAGAGGAGGAGAAGGAAAGGAAACAGAGATACAAAGATCTCTATAGCCAAGACGTCCTCCAGAGGAGATGAGGACGCAGAAAGAGGACGGGTACAGAGACGGGCCTCTAGGTGAGGATGAGGCCGGCCTCGTTGTAGACCCGGAAGACCTTCTCGATGGCGTTGACGTACGCCGCCGTCCTCAAGTCCAGACCAAGGTTGTACTTGTTGGCTGTCCTCATGATTTGCTGCATGGGAGGACGTAGAGAACGAGACAAGGAGGGAGGACAGGGACAATGTTGAGAAAGGAAAGGACATAAAGTTACAGATTGTGTGATTGTATGTCACATTCACACACGTGTGTGTGTGTGTGTGTGTGTGTGTGTGTTACCCTGGCAGAGCGCTCCATGGTGAAAGCTAACCCCGAGTGGACGATGTCTTTCTCAGAAGCTCCCTGAAAACAAAACACACGTTTCACAGCAGAAGAAGACAACGTGGTAGTGGTTGTATATGTGGTAGTACTAGTAGTAGTACTAGTAGTAGTAGGAGAGTACTCACAGCGACCCGGGCCTGGAACTCGGCGGTGGGGACGATGGGAATGGCGCCGCCATGCTTCCCGAACTTCCTCTCTAGACTCTCCTGAACAGACACTGAGGAGGGGGAGGAACAGTCACCCTCTCTGAGTCGATCGATCGATGATCGACGATCAATAAGGTCTCTGGTTCACTCACTCAGCAGGTGGTAGTTTGAGTCTCGCTCGTATTTGAAGGTGAGCCGACCGTAACTGACGTGGTTCAGATTCTTCAACCACTCGAAGTAGGACACCGTCACCCCGCCCGCATTCAGGTACATGTCCTGAGAGAGGAGACGAGGGGAGAGGAGATGAAACGAGGAGACGAGGACAGAGGGAACGAGTGCAGGATAGAAGGAAACGAGGAGAGGGAGCAGAAGAACATCTGGGCCACTGACCGGGATCACCATGATGTTCCTCTCCAGGAAGATGCGGTCGGCGTCGGGCGTCGTCGGGCCGTTCGCTCCCTCTGCGATGATCTAAAGCACACCAGACCGTCACTGAGGCATGATGGGAAAAAAACAGGGAGGCGGACACAGCCGGCGTAACTATGCTCTCCAGGTTACCAACGATTACGTGTTCAGCAAAAAGACGTTCTCAGAAGAGCGATCCACGGAATCTGCTTCTACACAGAGATTCCATCTGCCATCGGCTGATCAGGCTGATCAGGTGATCGGATGATGGCTATTGATCGCTACCTTGGCCTTGATCTGGTGGGCGTTGCTCTTGGTCAGCTGCTTCTCGCTGGCCGCTGGGATCAGGATGTCACAGTCCGCCTCCAGGATCGGTCCTGCGTACGGAGCTGCGTTGGGGAACCCGACGATGGTCCCGTGCTCCTGGAGGAAGAACCGTCGGTCAGCTGGTCCAACAGACACACACTTACTTCACTAATCATCCTAATTATATTCAGTAAGTAAAACCAGTGTCTTTGCTGTAGTGTCACCAATAACCCAGCAGGTGGAGTTCTGGTCCGTTGTACTACTGGATGTTGATTGAGAACTTCAACACTGAAGTCCTATTGGTCAAAGTAGTGACCAGTATGTAGTACCAGTCACTTTACCACATGTACAGACCAGTTTGTAGTCCTCCAGCTCTTTGGGGTCGATGCCGTTGGGGTTCCAGATGTTTCCATCCATCTCTCCGATGCCGACGCACTTGGCCCCCGAGCGGTGAAGGTAGCGCATGGAGTGAAGACCCACGTTACCAAAACCCTGCAGACACAAGTTGATGTGGTTCCTTGGGGTCGTAATGAAATGTGTGTAACATACTTTGGTCAAAGGATCATTTAAAACAGAATATGTTAGAAACAGCCGTCCACCCAGTGCCTGTTGCTTCAATGCTAATGAGTCAGCTGTCCCCCCATTTCTGACGTACAAGAACCATGACAAGTCGCATTTCCCCAGAGTCGTGGGGTCTGTTGACCAGAGACCCAAATTAACGTGTAGAAGCAGTAAAAAGTGGAATTTTTATAATTAAATTGTTGCAGTTTGTCAGTTGTTTGTGACCAAATCCATAAAAATGAATAAAGTCATTAAATAGAATGAAATAATGAGCACAAGTATGCTAACACGCTAAGCTAGGACGATGAACATGGATCCCGTCAGCTGACGTTAGCATTTAGCTAAAGTACAGCCTCACAGACCTGCTAGCAAACACGCTAAGGAACGCCTCCTCATTTTCCTGTTGCATTGTGGGTGTCTATTAAACGGTGGGATTAACAAATTAAAACTTACTTCTTGCTCAGGACAACTTTGTCGTCTAAACTGGCCAAAAAAACATCACCATAAAAGAATGAGTCATTTTAAATGTGTAATGCTAATCCTGTGGTTTAAGTGGAGTCATTGCTGAGGGCGAAGGGAGGAGGAGCCCGTTGTTAGTAAACAACCCCGACCGGTTCTTACCGGTTCTACCGGTCCGCCCCTCAAACAAAAGACACAGGAACTTTGTTCAGGACTATTTTCAGTGGCAGATGAATGTGTGTCAGAAAGAGCTGAAGATAAAGAGGATTCTAATATGCAGACTGGAGGAACAGAGCTGCTGCTGCATCTATTCATCAGCAGCCATCGAGATGGAGATCCAGGACCAGACGGGGGGGACTCTGATTGGACCAGACGGGGGGGGACTCCGAGGAGGAGGACTCTGATTGGACCAGACGGGGGGGGACTCCGAGGAGGAGGACTCTGATTGGACCAGACGGGGGGGGACTCCGAGGAGGAGGACTCTGATTGGACCAGACGGGGAGGTCTCTGAGGAGGAGGACTCTGATTGGACCAGACGGGGAGGTCTCTGAGGAGGAGGACTCTGATTGGACCAGACGGGGAGGTCTCTGAGGAGGAGGACTCTGATTGGACCAGACGGGGGGGGACTCATTGTTGACATCATGATGCTTGGTGCAGAGTGTCAGCTGGACAATGTTTTCATGTTATTGTGAAGATATCGGCCATATTGGTTTTGCTTACAGTCCTCCTGACAGAATTGTGCGTCCCCTGGTTGCATAGAGACATTAAGTGATGGTTGAATGTGGACGTTTGACGGCGTCCTGTGGCTCATACTTGGATGACGACGGTCTTGTCCTGGAAGCCGGGACACATCCCCAGCTGGTTCATGTAGGCCGGCTCGTTGATGAAGTTCTCGATGCCGTGGAAGACCCCCCGGCCGGTGGCGGAGATGCGCCCGTGGATTCCTCCCTGGCTGATGGGCTTCCCGGTGACGCAGGCGTAAGCGTTGATGTCCTGGAGGAGTGAGTGGGAGAAAAAAAAAAGACATGTTTAAAACGCCGTCAGAAACTTCCTGCTTTTTCCTCAGCGGCTGCTCCGATGAGACTCAATAGAATTCCTCAACACGATCGGCGTTCCCTCGTCTTCATCGCTCAGGACTCCGGTTAGTCTTCTCTCCCCAGGTTCATGCAGAAGAAGCAGCTTCCGGTCTCTGGTGGTCCTCGCTCACCTGGTGTGAGCATCAAACCCCCGAGCATCGGCCCTCAGACTCACGTTGTGGCCCAGGGTGGTGGCGTAGGTGTCTGCGATCCAGGACATCTCCCGCTCCCCGGTGCTCATGTCGGGAGCAGGAACGTCGATGCCGGGTCCTGAGGACCACAGACACAAGTTTATTATTCCTCGGTAACATCGGTGTCTCGTCCTCAATGAAAGTGCATTGAATATTCAACCCGAGCACAGGGAGGGTAGATCTAATAGAGAGTGAGACATGGTGCATTACTAGAATACACCACAGAAGAAGACGACCAGGGCGTAGCTGCATCAACTTCTGTTGTGTTGCTACGTTCAGGAACATACGTTAATGGAGCCGTTTTTTTCTTAAGTAGAGTATCTTCTGATAACTTCTAATCTGACGCTGCTGGACTCAAATATAATCCCAATATCTTCTGTTGCGACTGAGAACATCTGGATCTATTAAAAGTTACTTTACAAAAGATTACGTTTCAACACGTTGGGATTCACCTTTAACCGAAGACTGGTTTTTACTGAATGGGTGTGAAGGCATCACAATGTAACTCCGTTAGCCGTTAGCTTGTTATTTAGCCAAGCAGGGCCAAGTTGATCGCCAGCTGCTAAATACTGATTCATTTCATTAACACGACTCCATGACTGACCGATAAAGCCCTTCTTGGCGAGCTCGATGGTGAACCTCCGGGTTATTTTCTCCAGCTCGTTGTCCTAAAAACACAAATAGAAAACAACATTTAAATATCTTCTAATAACACTAAATGTTATGCTAAGCTAAGCTAACTTCAGAACATCTCAGAGGAAAAATAGTGTTAACAGAATGAGATAGAAAACACGTGTGTGTGTGTGTGGTTTGGGATTAGATTGTCATGTTCGCTTGACTTCTTCTGTGGTTTTGCCCTCCTCCCAATGACTCAACGTTTGTACGGTCAAACTTACGGAGTAGTTCCTCGGGTTGATCTTCACTCCGGCTTTGGCACCACCAAATGGCACATCTGGAACACATCACTTAAATGTAACAGCAGCTTTAATAATATAATAAAAAAAACATGTGCACATTAAATCAGCTTCTTTCTAAACATGATTTATATTATTGATTCTGGATTAAGACTTTTTATCTTTACTGTTATGCATCAATAGTAACATTCATTGACCTATAAAACCTTGTTGATGACCTGGTTGTGTGTGTGAGGACTTCTTGATGTGCCTTTGGGAGGACCGGCCTGCTTAAGTCCTGCATGCTAAGACATTTTGATCCACCCTGCTAGACCGGTTGCAGGTTCAGACTTGGTTCTGTAGGTTTGAGCGTCTACTCACCGACCACAGCACACTTGTAGGTCATGAGTGAGGCCAGAGCTTTCACCTCGTCCACAGACACGTCACTACTGTAACGGATACCTGGAACACACGGACGGTCACATGTAACACACTGAACTAAAGACCAGGACCTCTAGTCCAGGTGGTCCACCGGGACCAAACTGAACCTTAGCAGCCTGGTTGTACCAACGATGATTCATTTTAAACCAATTAAAATTGGGTGTGGGTCTTGATCTTAAATAAAAAGTAGAATCAGAATCGTCAAATCAAGCAAATTGAATTTCTGTGCATAGAAAAAGTGACAGACAGACAGATTCATTTTGCCGTTTTGTACATTTTCAATTTTTTCTTTTTGCAAACTAGTTTAAATATTTTTGGTTGTTCTCCCCTGAGAGAAGCAACAGCATCCACGTCCTCGGGGACTGAAGAGGAGGGATCTTCTACTTCAGCCACAGTACTATTACCACGTTGTACCATTTTATTACATTAATAATGAAAACGATGATGATGATGATATTCTAGGTAGACCAGAGGCTGGACCAAGAAGTGAAGTCAACACACCTGGTTATCGTTAGGCCATCTGGATTAACCAACAACTAGCGCCTGTACAAAGGGGGCGTGGCTATCAGCTTCTGACCAATCACAAACAAGCCTGCTGTTGGCGGAGCACGTTTGAACTAAAGAGCAAACTAATAATCAGAGAAGTATGAAGTTAAAAACACATCATTCAGACAGAAAGTAACAGAACAGCGTTTAAATGAACAATGTATGAACTGACTGAAGGACTGTTCTAAACATCATTAACAGGTTGCAATGCAGATACAAGCACTGTGTAAATATCAAATAAATATAAAAACACACTTCTAAAGCAGAACGTTTTCCTTCCTAAAATCATAATCAAGGCGTCACACTGCTGCATCACTAAACATCTGTGCATCACTTTTTATCTTTAACAACTCTGGCTAGTGGGCGGAGCCTACACACCTGTAGACCTCCACCCGCCCATGACCTAACGTGAGGGGTACTACTGTATATGGTTAACACTAAAGTGTGCGCACACACACACACACGTACTATGTTCAGCAACACAGCACCAAACACCACGGAGAATTCACACATGTTGAAACCTGGATCAGGCCGACCCGTCCTCCACCTATTGATCCCCTCTGATCAATAACCGCTGAGAGGAACGACTCCAGAGCTCCACAGGACACTCACCTCCAGAACAAACACACGCGCGCACACACACACACACACACACACCTGGCACAAGGGGCGGGGCCTTTCCAAGTCCCGCCCCAATGCGCTGCGCCTGTCGGGTGATGAAACTTTTAATGAACTTTCACTCAATAAAAGTATAAAAACTAAAGTTAAACCAGTATTTCAGCAGCCACTCAGCTCAAAAATTGATACATACATTGTCTTATCAAAAATCTATTTATTACATATTGTATTTATTAAACACAACATTTTATGTCCATGTTTCTGGCAGACGATGTTCCCAACCAGCTGCATCCAGCTGAGCAAAGTCTTGTTGTCAACTACGTTTAAAGTCAAGGTACTTGAGGCTGTACTTTATCTTCACTAATGGAACAGTTCATGGGTTCTGTTGCAACACTCGAACTGCCTCACGCACCGTATTGCTTTTATAATACAGTTACCGGCAGAATTATACTAGTTGTTAATAGCTGCCTTTCAGCACAGAACAGTTGTGTGTCTCATGTCAGGCGTCTACAGGTAAATAGTCCCCGTAGGTGCAGTAAACAGCATCGGGTCTTCTTGTCAGATCTCGCACCATCTCATTCATTCACACGACGTCCACCTTAATTGTCCGGTTACGAAAGTTCGCATCAGAAACTGATCATTTGTGGGATTTCCGGTCGCACAAAATCTAACGTGTTGCTTTGAGTGCACAGTGATACGCTCAGGTCAACGTGAACAGGTACTACACAAGTCCACCTCGTGACTCACCCTCAACCAATCAGAACGCTGGATTTGCTCCTCAGAACCGCCCTGTAGTGGCGCCCCCTGTGGACCACCGCGGTACTGCTTCTACCACCAGACCTTACTGCAGCTCTGACAGGGTTCTCACAGGACCAGGACCAGACTTAGACCGGTTCATATGTTCTAGCTGCTACTGTGTTTGTTATAGTCACTTTAAAGACACACCACAGTCTAACTATGAACATATCTTACATACATTCTACAGAGGAAGTAGAAATACCTCATAAAACCAAAGCTCTCTACTCGATCATTTTGGATTTGGAATTGAATTAGTTAAATGGTGTCCAAACTAAGGGTCGGGCCCCTCTTAAGGGTCATATTATCAATATATCATGTGTTCATATATAATGATCAAATACACATATTTGTAGCACTTTTTTTTTCTTAATAAGTTTGGTATTTATTTAACTGGCTTACAAATACAAACTAGTACTACAGTATCTCCAACTTGAACAATATGTGTGTAAATGTACCTGTTAACCTGTTCTATTGACTACCGGTGACTTACAATGAATAAGTAAGTCACTATTTTAAAAATCTATATTTACTGATCATCTCAGGACGTTTGATTCATATTTTCTTACATTTTACAAACGGATGATTTTTATTAGGGATGATTGACCCTGACGGCTCACCTCCCTTGCAGGGGGTCCGGTGCTGGCTGTGCTGAGCCCGGTAGCCCTCGATCACCTCCCACTCGCCGCTGTCCTTCTTGATGGGGAAGCAGACGCTCAGGACGTGGTTACACGGCTTGATGATGCGCAGGATGCCGCGGACGCGCTTCCGCTTCTGCTCGGCGCTCTCGCGGTTCCGCAGGCCCTCCACCAGCTGGTCCTCCACGATGGCGGCCCCGCGGTCGAAGAAGCCCTCCACCATGGCGAAGAAGTTCGGGTCGTCGTCTCGGTCCGCGGCCTGGCTGTAGCCGCGCCGCCGCGGCAGGGAGGCGGACGCGGGGGGAGCCGAGTCCGCGGCGGAGGCACCCGGGGCCGGGACGCCGCCCGCTGCCCGGCAGAGCCGCCGGCCGAGGTACCGGTACATTTCAGCCGCTTTGACGGGAGTCGGCGAGGTGAGCGGCGGGCGGGCGGCGCGGGAGGCTCCGGGCGGTGAATGCGAGCAGTGCGGAAGCGGCGCGAGAACCGACACGACGAGACTCGCGAGTCAAACCGCCACTGCGTCGCTTTAAAGCCGCTAAAAGTTGCACCTAGTTGCACCTAAAAGACACCGAAAGGGACGCGGACTGAACACGAAGATACGGAACGTTTCGCCTCCGACGCGTCTGCTTTTTCACTTATTTGACGTTTGCCGTAGTTTTATGGTTTAAGCTGTAATTGGTACACTTTAAACATCCGGTTCCAGCAACCAAAATAAAAGCACGTACTTTTTGGAGTGTCCAAATAATCACATTTAATGTACAACTTTGTTCATTTTAACAGAAAAATATAGGTGTTTCTTATTGAACATAAATTATACCTGAAAACTTGTTGCTTTTTGGCGAAATTTTCCGTTTGGAAATGAAAATCTCTCTTGCACGTGAGTCTTCTGGGGTCACAGAGGGGCTTCAGTGAGTAACCTTCTTCTTCTGCAGGGAACCTTAATGAGGTTCTTATTAAATCACCACTTTAATCAATGGTTCCTGTGGCGGGGAGTAGTTGTTCTTCCAAGTACAAATACTTAGCAGCTTTTAAAAGTAAGTAAAGACCTTTATTAAATATGGTGGTCAGGTGGATCTGATGGTTGAGGGCTGATGTTGAAGCTCTGTTTGCTGAATAAAGGGTGAAACACTTTTAACGGTCAGACGTTGAAGAACCCGTTAAAACACGATAACACGTCATTTAGCCACCATTGAACTCTTCCTCCTCAGCATGTGCGAGCGGCGGACGGTTCACGTCTTCCTGGGGGCTCCGCCTCCCTCCTCGGCGTCGGCAGGTGGGGGGCAGGGGGAGGAGCGTCGCCCTGACGAGTGGAGACACCTGGAGCTCACCTGGCGGGATGGGCGCCTGAGTCCAGCGGCAGGTGAGGCATTCAGGGACCCAACAGGGAAAGATGTTATTTTTATTTTATTTTAAACAGTTCTTCTCTCTCTGTTCTCTGTCAATTTCCACAACCATCTGCACACAAGTGCCACGCTTAGTTCTCTATACCATGTCATTGTTTTGGTAGGAATGGGAATAGTTATAAATTTATAACTCATTCTAGGAGCTGGATTTATTTCCCTTTAGAGCCAGGCCAGCTGTTCCCCTGTTTCCAGTGTTCATGCTAAGCTATGCTAACCAGCTGCCGGTTGCAGCTTTATATTTACTGTGCAAACATGAGAGCTACATTGATAACTAAAATATATGTTCTCCAAAAATAAATAAAAAACTACAAATAACTTGCGTTTTGTTCAGGGGAAGCTGGAGATGGTCGTCTGGAGGAACCAGGATACAGAGAGGACAAAGGCGCCAAGCGCTGCACGTCGAGTGGTCTAATCCCGGCCGCCGATCTCAGACCTGCAGACGGATTCCTGAGGAGAGAAGACGAGCCGGACGCCGGACAGGACGACCAGTGTTCGGCTTCGGTTCTTGAGTATCTTGACAGCTGTTTCCCCGCAGCTCAACCAGAACCAGTGAACCCAGAACCTCCACGCGGCTCTGAGCAGCGGCCGTTGCCTGACGCTGCTCCCCTGTCAGCCCGCACTCAGTACCTCACCACCTGGACCCTGAGTCAGGCGCTCATGCTGAGAGGAAGCGGGGGAGTCCAATCATCCCTACCTCCTCAGACCCCCCCCAAGGACGGCCAAACACCTCCCTCCGTCTCCTCCGGCACCCCGGAGCTCTTCGGCCCCGCAACGCCGTCACCCGAGGCCACCGGCGAGCTCCTCAGCCAACCCCGTCCCGTGCTCCCGAGGGTGGAGGAAGGGGGCGTGGTGGTCGAGGCCACCACGGACGGTGTGCTCTGCTCCCAGGAGGCCGAGCCGCAGGAGTCTAGGACCCCTCGAGGCTCTCCTCCCAAACCTGGTCTCAAGAGGGCTAGACTCTTATTAAACGCCAGGACCAAAGAGCCCGACAACCCCCCCGCGGGGCTCCAAGGTCCCACCACACTTCTGGTCCGATGTGACAAACGGGGGTTTCGGCTCTCCGTTCTGGTGGCGGTGGTTCACCCCTGTCACCTGAAGGAGGTGAAGGTGAGATCAAATGCTTTTTATCTTAAGCTATAAAGGACTGAAGTAAGACTCATACTTGTATTTAGGGTTTCCACTTGAACACGTTCACATGCTTTCATGTTAAAAAGCATATTGTTTTTCTCGTATTGCCTGTGTGAATATTCCTGTAGTCTCTTTAAGCCCCTCCCCCTCCCTAACCAGACCGATCTCGATCTCGAGTCGAGCGTTTTATGGCCCATGTTGTCTGTTTCACCCAATAATCCAAAGAGGAATCCAAAACCGGCAGGTTTTCATAATATGTCCCCTATAAAAATTGTTTTTGGAGCAATTCTGCTAATATGCACAATTCTTGCTGATGTTACACTACGCATAACTAGCATGTAATGCTAGTTAGCAGGCTAACATCATTAGAGAGTCCAGCTACCCTGATGAAGGTCTTCACTTCTCACAAACCAAAGTATTGGGGACATGTCACAAGTTGACCCGCTGGTGGCGCTAGATGAAAGGGTTTTGGAATGTCCTGACTTGATGTTGAGTTATTATTAAGTGGAAGAACGACTGGAAACACACAACTAGCGGGCCTAAAACTTGGGACTAAAATAAGAGGCTAGAATTTTGACTAGAATAAAATGTTGAAAGCCTCTTTTCGTTCTTCTAACTGACAAACGATTTGCATCACACCCGCTGGAGGTAACGCGTTCGATTTGTTGGACTGAAGGTGAAGTCCGGGGCGGCTAGGGGAACCTGCGTCCCTCTGGCGTCCATCGTGGTGACGGACCAATCGGGCGTGGAGATGAAGGTGGTGCTGTGGCGCCGGGCGGCGTTCTGGGCGTTGACTGTCAGTCCTGGAGACCTTCTGCTCATCACAGGTACATAAATGTGGAGGATGTCTCAAAACAGGTGGAAAGGCTGGAGTTGGTCGGTGTCGCTGGGGGATGAACGCAGGGCGAGGTAAGGCCGCTCCACAACGACGTCACATTAAACCATTTAAACATCAAGGAAAAGAAAAGGAAATTTAGTGAAAACAGACATTAAGACAACATTACAAGTTTCAGTTAATTAAACACATAAACAGTAAAAAGCATTCAGTTCAATTAAAGGCAGAAAAAAGAAAAGTCTTCAGTCTTTATCTGAAGCAGCCAAGAGTCTCGTAAGCTTTCTACCTGTCTGTCCACCTGTCTGTGTGTCCAAAGCCTGACTGAAAGACATCAAAACAGTTATTTACGTTGTTTAGCTGTAAAAAAAAAACCAAAGGCCAAATTAGAGTTTAGGGATGTTTACGATCAAAGATCATTAGGACATTTATAAAGACTCCTTTTAATAATACGTTTCTCACTGTCCACAGGACATCCCGACAGCTTGGGTTTAGATTGTTTTCTTCATGTGGACTTCAATTAGATTTGAGTTGACAATGCTGATGTTTTAAGGAAAATAAAATTCGAGGGCCCAACATATAGGAAGCTGGGACTCCACCAGACCAAAGCCTTTGTGGTCTCCTTTCAGGTCTACAGGTGAATGAAGACAGGTGGAGGGGAGAGACGGTGCTGCAGTCCACCTTCACCAGCAAACTGCTCAACCTGGGACAGATCACCGCCTCCGCCTCGCCGCCAGGTACGACGGACTCCAACAGAGTCCAACCCGCCCCGATCAACCACAACCCGCCCCGATCAACCACAACCCGCCCCGATCAACCACAGCCCGCCCCGATCGACCTCAACCTGATCTCTGTCTCTCTCCAGCTCCTCGGCATGTCGACGCTCACTCTCTGAGGTCTCTGTGTGTTTTTCTTCGGGAGCGGCGCCCCCTGCTGCTGTCTCTGAACCTCTGCCCACCTCAGGACCTGAGCCGCCTCCCCTACGCCTGCCTGAGGTCACTACGGGTCAACACGCTGGTCCACGCTCTGCTGCGAGTCACGCACACGGACATCGGCACAGGTGAGCGGGTCACAGGTACAAGAGTTGATTTCACAGCGGCATTATGGGTATGTTCTGTTTCTCTGGTCCTGGTTCTGTCCTTGTTTACACGCTGCAGACATCGTCTTCATATTATCAACAGATCGGAAAGAAAACACACTTCTCTCCTGATTTGGGAAAAACCTCCTGGACAGGAAATGAAGTGTTTACAGAATAAGAGCCGTAAATGTGGAGTGATCTATAAACCAAGACAAGGGCTTTACAGATAAAACACCTTATACACTTATTAAACAAGGATTCAGCCTGAAGAAGCATCGTTGGGTTTTGACCTTTTGGTGTCTGTTGTGTTGATGAACTGGACGCCTGTTAGCTTGGAGAAGTGAGGCGGATTCTCGCTTCAGGTCAGCGGTTCAGCTGCAGGCCGTTCTGACCGTGGAGCAGCCGCTTGGCCAGCAGGGGGCGCTCCTGCTGTGGGGAGCAGCTGTGGACTGGCTCCCCCGCTTCAACAGAGACCGAGGTACAAAAAACACAAACGCATACCTGTGAAGGCACTAATTCACCAAAATCCCCTGAAAAAACCCTGATCCTCCGTGTCCTCCAGCGGCTGTCTGGGAGTTTCGGTTCCTTTTAGTCAGGGACGGCTTGACCTCTGACCTGGCCGAGCTGCATTCCACCTCCTGGAGCTCGGCCCAGCCTCTGGATACCGCCGACCGCCGGGCGCAGGACTTCTTCAGGCCGCCACACTTCCCAACGGGAAACGGTGGCAGCCTGGAACTGGACCTTGACACGCTGCTGTCTCAGAAGTACAGCGGTGAGTTAGAGAGCAGCTGATGTAAATGGGTAATGAAATCTCAATCTCCAGTTTGAAACTCGCTAAACTGCAACTTTCTGCCTTTTACTCTACAAAACCACAAATGCCAACTCTGTGGTAATGCCAGAAAAAGTATGGGGCATTAAGAAGGCTTGAATAAAACGTTATAGTATTAAACAGTATATGTAGTAAAAATGTTCCCATGAAGCACAGCACAGGTCTCTCCAAGATACATACAGGTGGAATTAAACATCAACGATCACCACACACGTATCAAGATTAAAAAGTACATACATGTGTACCCTGAGGTACACCAGAACAAAGTTAGAGTACACAAATGCTAAAAAGTATAAGAACCAAACTTTCATTCTCAGACACCCTAAAGTTAAGTTAAGTTCTTATGCTGTCCTCCATCAGGTGACGCGGAGCTCAGAGTCCAGGTCACTGCTTTCCACTTCCAGGACTCTCCGCCTTCCCCAAATGCACCTCAGCCGATCCTGGACAGCTCCACGCCGCTCGATGGTATCCTTGCGGCGCTGAGCGGTGACATCACCTACACCGGCTGCGGTCGCTGCTCCACAGAACTCGATACCGACGCAAACGGCATCTACGGGCCATGTTACCGCTGCCTGCCCAACACCACTGTACGGCGCTACTACAGGTACTACTGGTAATACTTCTAGCTGCTTCAGGTACTACAGGTACTTAGACTAAAAAATGTAAAAATACTAAGGACTAAAAATGTAGTCCAAATAAATGTCATGAAAAAAAGGTTAAAAAAATATTAGTTGGAAAATAAATTCTGAAAAAAAGTCCAAAAATATTCCTGAAAAAAAAGTCTAATAATTTACATTACAAAAAGTCTTGAAAATATAGTCCAAATATGTTAAAACAAAAATGTCACAAAAAAGGTAAAAAAATATGAGCTCAAATAACGTTAGTCCAAAAATGTTAGGTATCATGGGAAAAAAAATCAAAAAATGTCATGGAAGAAACCGTCAAAGCATATTAGACAAAATTATTTTCTTGTAAAAGTCAAACCATGTTAGGTTAAAAAATGTCAAGTAAAAAAAAGTAAAAAAATAGTAGGTCAAAAAAGGTTTTGAAGAATAATCCAAATATATTAGTTTTAAAAAAAAAATCGTTGTTTTTAAAAACCTTTTTAAAAACCGTAGGTTCAATAATGTGAAAAGAAAAACGTTTTTTAAAATTTGGTCAAAAATATAAAAACGTCAAAATATGTTTATATAAAATATTAGGCAAAGAAATATTTTGAAAACAAAAGTCAAAATGTCTAAGGTCAAAAAATGTTTTTAAAAAAAAAATTTAAAGGAGGAAAAAAGTATAAAAATATCGAATTTTTGATGCACATAAAAGACAAAATATTATGTCAAAGAAAAAAAATATTATATAAAAGGCAAAAATGTTGAAGTCAAATGTTTTTAAAAAAAAATCATGTGTATGTTCGAACACATTGTGTCTAGAAATGTCATGGGGAAAAAAAATAAGTTGAAAAATATATAGATTTTTAAAATCTAAATATTCAAGGTGGAGGGTTAGAGCCTGAGCCTGATATGCAGGCCACATTTTGGGAGTTTTGGGATATGATTAAGGCCCCTAAAAGGATATTCATTTGGAATAAAAATGATAATTCCAACTTCTCACAAGACTCCTCTCGGCCTGGCTACACTGATGCTTGGGCCCTAAACATTTGTTAATCACTGTATTTAAAGACATTTCAATAAATATTTGAACAACAAAAGCGTCCGATTGTGTGGTTGGATCTTTGCGAGTGGGCGGACTCAACCTTTTTGAAATAGGTCTTAAAATAGAGTATGTGAATATGTGTGTATTTCAGGCCGGGTGTGTTGACTGTGAGTGGCCGGGGCAGCCGTCAGGTGTGCGTTCAGGTTCCTCCGGTTCCTCTTCAGGAGATCCTGGAGGCTCCGCCCGATAAACTCAGCAGGAGCTCAGGTGGGACACGGGCTGAGTTTCTGCCGAGATGCTTCCAGGTGGCTTGAGATCAGGAAAGTAAAAGTATCTCCTGTCTATATCTCAGCTCCGGGCTCCGAGGTGAAGTATGTCCAGGTGGCGGCGGAGAGAATCCGGTTCTTCCTTTCTCTCCCAAGGAAAACCTTCATCCTCACTGTCCGGAGCGATTGCACGTGCGACGAAAACAGCGTCCCCCTTAGTCGGGACTTCACGCTGCTGGACCTTCGGCTGAGTGACGAAGGGTGAAGATCAGCGGGATCTCCTCAGTTTGTCCCAAAACACAAGCAAAACGTGCGAGGAACAGATTAAACCCTCTAAGTTGACTGTCCGTAATAAAAGATTCATAAACCACAAGATGCTGCTGTTGTCTGTTTATTTTCTCCCTTTTCATGTGATCCCCTGTAAACAAATACGTATTCATGTTTATTGTTTCTTCTTGCCATTGAAATGCTTTAGTTATTACACTTATTGTAAATAATTGTTTACAACTAATCTTGTATTCATACACGTAAACAGAATCCCCAAACATCTGCTACCGGATGGATCTGTTCATCCAGCAGTTGTTCAGCACAATATTTGTGTATTTAATGAAATCACTCCATTTCAGTTCTTTATTATATATCAACACAGGTAAAAACACGTCCACTTTAAGTTGATTTACCCTCCGACCATCAATTTACTGCTTAATGACATATTCTCATGCTCACAGTGTAGCTGTTAGCTCACCTAGCATTGGGCATTTAACCACTAGTTCAACCCTTTGTGCACAAAGAGAAGACGTGTAACTTTACAACTTTAGCTCTGGACACAGCCAGGCTAGCCGCTTCCACCTGGCTTTATGCTAAGCTAAGGCTAATCTCTATTGTTCCTGGATGTCCAAACAACAGACACAATGTCCGTAGAATTATCTGTGGGACTGAATTTGATTGAATAGATCCCCGATGTTTAGATGTTTGGGTTTAATACGGATTGAGGGGAAACGTCCAGGATCAGTTTACGTTTGACTGACTGAAAGAGGTTCTTTAGGAGAAATGATGAGCAATACATGTGAAATATACAAATCTATCCATCTATATATTAATATGTGTTCAGTCACTGTTCTTGGTGACTGAATCTTCTGGGGGTTTCTTCAGAGGTCGCGATGTCGTTTTATTTCCCTCTTGACGTTTCTTCGGCCACATCCATCAGATCATCGAACAAATCTGAAACATAAACACGAAGATGATTATCGGTGGAATTAGTTTACACTTCGTCCACATGTTTTTTTCCATTGTTTCTTCTTCTTTAGTTATATCTATTAGAATATATACAGTAATGATGTATTATAATATATAATACAGATATATGTTGTATATAAAGCCCTGTGAGGGACACTAGAGCAGCGGAGGGTTTTATTGAGACGTCTCTTGAAGTCTTTTGAAAATGGGTTTGACTTCATGAAGTAGCTGTCACACGTATGGACGTGTCCCATCGTTTCTCTGATTCGGCGGCTGAGAACATCACGTACCTCCGTCATTTAATTGTACAGTTTGTGGAGTCATTCCTCCGCCCATGTTGTCTTCGTCGTGGCCTCCTGCAGACGTAGCTCCCTCACTGAAGAGACCAGAGAAACCAGATTTACTCTCCTTCTTGTCCTCGCCGTCGTCTCTGTCAAAGATCTTTGAGAAGAAGCCGTCCTTCTTGTTGTCTTTGTCCTTCTCGCTCTTCTTCTTCTTCTTCTTGTCGTTGTTGTCATTGTCTCTATTAAAGATCTTTGAGAACATCCCTCCTTCGTTTTTGTCCTTGTCCTTGTCCTCCTTGCCGAGAGCCTTCTTCACTGCATCCTCTACCATGTCTCCTGCAAGACAAATGACACCACAGTCAGACCACATGGAAACCAGGAGTTAGATCCATCCTTGGTGGAGCACCAGAGGGGTGGGGTTGACCTCAGAGGATGAGACAACTTGAAGCTCCAATTAGGTGATTAAAGTCAAACGAGATTGTTTCTTATCGTTACTTTCTCTGACAGATGGATGATCTACAACCTGCTCAATGGTCTGTTTGACGCTACATGGACCATCACGTACTAGATGTACTGAGTCATTGTCTCATGGACTTCTACAGGACCAGATGAGTCGCCCCCTGGTGGTCACTACAGAGAATGCACCTTTAACACTGACTTTAGGAAGTTGCTGTTCAGTCCAGAACGTAACGTCTTCAGAGCTGTGATGTCATTGATGAGCAGCTTGTGTGACTGAAGGAACTCGCGCTCCAAACAGAAGCTTTTTGAAGCAGCTGTTTTAACCTCGACATCCAGAGAGCCCCAAAGCATTTATCTCGTTTGCATCAGCAGCAAACAATCACACAAAGAAGCAACGTGTTGATTTGAACCTGATTTATTCTCATTAAACGAATGAAAATAGGGGTTCTCATCAAACACTGTAAATCAGTAACATCACCTCCATTTCTGAGGAGCTTCGGTTATTGATGAACTGTGTAACAAGACGAGTTTTCTTTGACGGGACGTCTGTCATAAAAGGACAACATCTTTGAGGTCTTCCACTAAAAGTCCCTCTCGTAAGACTCTGATACTCTGCTGCAGAAAGCTGACAGCACGCCATGCCAATCACGCCATGCAACACTTCTGACCCGCCTCCCCGGCTCTACTCACCCATTTTTTCTGCAATCCATGAAGAGGCCATCTCTGTCTCTCTGTCTCTGTCTGTCTCTCTGTGTGTCTCTCTGTCTCTGTCTGTCTCTCTGTCTCTCTGTCTCTGTCTGTCTCTCTGTCTCTGTCTGTCTCTCTGTGTGTCTCTCTGTCTCTGTCTGTCTCTCTGTCTCTCTGTCTCTCTGTCACTCTGTCTCTCTCTCTCTCTGTCTGTAACTCTGTGTCTCTCTGTCTGTCTCTGTCTCTGTCTGTCTCTCAGTGTCGTTCTGTCGTCCTCATTGGGTCCATTTGCAGGTGTGACTGAAGCTTTGTCTCTTTAGGCCGACGCCCTCTCTCCGGTGTCCCTCCTCTTCTCGTCGCCGCGGGTTACGGGTCGTCGGACGGGACCGACTGGTTCCTTCACCTGAATGAAGCGTTCCGTGTCTTCAGGGGGAATGAAGCCGCTGTGGAGAGAAACAAAGTACATTTACACACTTTAGTATTTCTGAGAGAAATGTACTTTTCACGTCATTGATTCATTAGCTCCTTTACAGATTAAGTTTCTCTTTGAATGTAAAGAACTATTTGACTTTTGCTGAAGTAAAGTTTTGAGTGCCGGTATTTTAGTGGTAATTAGGAGTATTTCTACCTGCAGTTGGTAGTACTTCAGAGTACAGCCGACTGTTTGTGTTTCAGGGAGACAACGAAAACACGAGTCATCTGAGCTGGAATGTAAGTACATTTACTACTGCGAGTGTCTTTATACTTTGTACTCCACTGTATTTATCCGTCAGATACCTGAACCCTCCTTTACAAACAGAAAACATGACACGATTAGAACAACGTCACAACTATTGGAAACAATAAGTGACGCAGAAACTTACGCGCCCATCTGTGATCTACATCAGACCCTTTATTAATCATCCCCTGCTCCCAGAATGCACCTGTAAAACACCTGTACCAATCAGAGCAGGGCTTGGGTGCTGTGCTTATATTCCACACCTGATCAAGTCTTAACCTGGATGTAAAGTTTCAAGCTGGTGAAGGCAATATTAGCCAATTAATTTATCTATATATTCATCAAAAATACCAGAATGCATAATCAAAGGCCTCCTTTTTAAACTGCCTGGATGAATCACCCAATCGGAGCGAGCGAGCAGGCAGCCAATCACAGCGAAGACGTTTGAGGAAAAAGGAGAAACGAAGAACTCATCAGCCTAAAGTGAGCCAATGCTTCAGAACTCATACATATATTTATATTATGGGTAGATGAAATCAAGCGTTCTGATTGGTTGAGAGTGAGTCAGAACTGTGGGGTTGTACGAGGCAAAGGACTGGACCTCTGGGGGGGGGGGGTAGCAACCCACCTCCTCCAACTTCTAATTCACTACTACCAGAAACCAAACCACACAGGCTGCCTCAGTGGCTGCTGGAGTCAGTGCAGCTATTAGCATCAGCATCAGCATCAGCATCAGCATCAGCATCAGCTAAGCACCCTGACCACAGGTCACGTGGAGGGAGGACCAAACGAGGAACATCAGGCGGCCCGATGGAGAAGTCGAGCCTGTGGAAAGAGCCCAAGTAGCAGAGCAGGGTTCCCGTTCCATGAACCACGCCGGACTGGCAAAGTTCCCGGGGAGAAACATTGGCCAGATCCGGTACATAATCCGGGGAAGCCTGCAGGAGACTCGTCTGTCTCTGGGCGGAGGAGCCGGCCTGCAGCCCATGTCCTAAATATGGCCTCCTGGTCGTAGATGATAGCGACTAAATTGCAGCCGATGTCCAACCGCACTTTGGACGGCGAGGGAAGGAGGGGAACCGCCAGCTAACCACGTGGTGGTGTGATCAACAGAGGTGTGCTAGCATGGCATTCAACGCGGAGACAACTAATCATGAAGATTCAGGACCAGCCCTGGACCAACAGGTCCAGTCGCCGTGGCTCCATGTATTCACCTGCAGTTTACCTGGACCCAAAGAACCAATGACCTTTGGTCTTGGCCTCAGTAATCTTTACGCGCTTTAGTCAGCAAGTCCTTAATTAATTAAACCGTCTGTCTCTGTCGCAGGTCCAGAACGGAGCCAACGGGCGTCATTATCTCGACACAATGTGACATGCTGTGTCCTCTACGCTGATCCCTGCGATGTGAAGCAACGTGAGTGGACATGAATATGAAAGCTCCCTTCAAAGCCACTGGGCGCCAAATCTAAAGGACAGGATTAATATCCTGGCTGGTGAAGACACTTCCAACACCGAGGCACCGGTAAACACAGTCATTTTTGTTATTTTAATGGAAACTTTTATAAAACGAGCAATGTGAATGAATGAGAGGTCGATCAAGGAGACCTGGGACGTTTTCCGACGACGGACAAATCAACGTCCATCTGATCATCAACAAACGTTTAGTTTTAGGCAACAATGCTGTTTGTCTGTTGCATCGGAACTATCGTCTATTCTTGTTCACTATTGACTATTTTCTTCAGGCTTCTGAAAAGCGATACACAACATTTGGTGGATACAACTGTTTTCTGCTATTTCTCTACTATTTGTAATGTCTCTGTTTCCTTCTTCCGCTCTGTTTCCTGACGGTTTAATAGGATCCGTGACCCACAGGGCCGCTCGTCTCCGGGTGACTGAGATCTCTTCATTTCACGCAGCGACACACCAGTAAAGTTCAGGTCAACGTTGGTAAAACACAGTAAAGAAAACACAAACGTCTCCGTCGGCTCTGCAGCTCGTACAAAACATGTAGTCCAAAAGTTTTATTGTGCTTTAAATGTTCAAATCATTGGTAAATATGTAGAGTGATTCTCGACGGTCTGCAGCTGGTCCGGGTCTCTACTTAAAGAAGCCGCCGAGGGCCCCCATCACTGCGTTGGCCCCTGAGGAACAAAGCCAATGTTAAGAAAAGTTAAGACTGAAGCCTGGAAACATCTACGATGTGATGATGACGATGAACCAACAAAAATATGAATATATACATATGCAGATATAGAAATGTGTATTTAATTATATAAACGTATAAACATCATTAAATAAATGTACCAGTCAAAAGTTTGGACACTTGAATTGAATGAGAAATTGTGTCATATATACATGTACATTACATAAATACTCACTATGTCGTTCATCTTTTAATAGTTTATTATTTCAGGGGGAAAATACACATAATTATGTCCAGATAAGTAGGACGTGATGTTTCGGTGCCTCATCCCGGATCGCTCTGGAGGACTCACCTCCCCCCTTGCTCTTGTCTTCCTTCCCCTTGCTCTTGTCTTCCTTCTTATTGCCCCCGCTGACCATCGAGAGGGCGTCATCGAGGCCAAAGCCGTCTCCGCCTCCGCCGCCTCCGCCTCCGCCGCCGCCGCCTCCGACCAACGACATCACCTGGTCCACCGGTCCTTTCTTCTCCTCCTCCTGCCCTTCCTTCTTACCCATGACTTTGCTCATGGTGTCCTCCACAAGCTCCTCTGAGGACACAAGAAGCGGTTCAGTTCTCCTGTAGATACACGATGTCTGCAGGTTTGGTTTCACCGCCTGAAGCCGATGGGTGCGGATCACCAAATATTTGAGGGTGATTAAAGCAGTAATTCAGCCTCCTGAGTCGGCTGACATCACACAAAGTGACTAGCAGGACACAAGGGAACTTCTTCCACCACGTCAAACCTCACGCAGCCAAACACAGACACTGGAATCATCATTCTAATTATTATAATCCATCCATATATCTATCGATCCATCTATTGATCCATATATCTATCGATCCATCTATCGATCCATCTATCGATCCATCTATCGATCCATATATCTATCGATCCATCCATCCATCTATCGGAACGTATAATTGCTCCTCATAATAATCCAAGTATTCTGTACATTGGGTTTTAGCTCCTCTTCCCGTGAAACATTCAGCCTGAATATTTATTCATTTATTCTAAATATGTAATATATAAATATGTCTAAATATTACGGCGTCTTTGGGGAATTCAGATGTAAAAACAAATAATGAGGAAGCGAGACACTCACCCACTTTCTGACCGGCCATCTTGGAGATCATTCTGTCCATGGCTGCTGCTGATAGTCACTGCTGCCTCCACTGTGTGTTTACTGTATATAAGCATGGAGGTGGGCGGGGCTGAAGGCATTGGGCGGGGCTTCTGGAGGCCGGCTTACCTGCGGGTAGCCCCGCCCTCTGTGGACTCGCCCTGTTGAAGAATCAGGTGTGAATGCAGGGTGGACAGGTCTCACGGGTCGGAGAGGATTTATACCTTTACGTGCGTGTGCGTGTGTGTGTGCGCGTGTGCGTGTGTGCGTGTGTGCGTGTGTGTGTGTGTGTGTTACCTCCCTAAAGAAGAATTTAAAGGTGTGTGTTACCTCACCTGTATTCATGTTCACATAAAGACGGTGAGACACAGAGTGAGATCCAACCTGTCTTCACCTCGTACTAAATGTCTCCTCTTCATCGTTCCGAACACGTTGATCATTGAGTCTCTGATGGACGTGAGACCTTCACGGGCCGCCGGCTCTCCTTCAGCGAGACACGGGCTCGTCGCAGGAGAAAACCCGCTGTGAGGAGGCGTGTCTGAAAGAGTGACATCACACTCAAGCGTGAATCCAGATGTACTACAGAAAGTACCTGTTGGCTAATATATAAAATATACTTGTATATTATATATAGTACAAAAACATATATGCAAATACAAATATAATCGGTTTTATTCTGTGGTTTTCTCTATTCATATACTGTATACATATATGTATATATATATATGTGATATATACGATATGTGCTATATTCATATATACATATATGTATATATATATGTGATATATACGATATGTGATATATACATGTATACATATATGTGTATATCACTATGAATTTGCATAATCCCGAGGAGATGATCTGGATTCTGTGCGTCTTCTGTCTCCACAAACATGCTGTGGACTGAGGACATAAACCGCGGTGGCCATTTTGAAAACAGTTTAATCTCGTGTCAGTTTTTGTCATCATTATTTGATTCAATTCATTTTATTTTTTATAGCACTAAATGCCTCAGTCCAGAAACTGGCACCTCGGACAGGAAAAACTCCCCAAACAAAGACACAGCATTGGATGGGGAGACAGAGGACGATCGTCCCCGTGACGGACACGCCGTGACGGACACGCCGTGACGGACACGCTGTGATGGACGTGCAGAGTGAACAACGTGAACAATACGCTCAATTCACCCGACACAGATGATTCGGGTCGTCGTGGCACAGGAGGAGAGAGGGAGCGCAGGGAAGCACAGGGTTGTGGGTTTGTGTCCCTGAGCAAGGCACCCAACCCCTAACTGCTCCCCGGGCGAAACTGTAAGAGCCACAGGTTAATAATGCAACGCAAGTCGCTTTGGATAAAAGCGTCGGCTAAAGGACCTGTGATGTGATTCAAATACACAAATGATCTCATCATGCGCGTTCATCATCGTCTCCTGCTCGTCTTCTTTAGAGTTTATTTGTGCTGTTAAAAAATCCTGGATTTGACCGTCTTCTGACATAAGACACGTACGCGCGATTATCGAGACATCTGGTTCAAATTAAGCAGACGGTTTGAGCTCCGATCAGCCGCTGAGCAACCGAGATGCTGCATTATGGGACATTTAATCGACTTATATTTAGCACGAGGAATGGGGCCCAGGTGAGTGACAGCACAGGTGTGTTGTGTGTTTGATAGGCCACGCCCCCCGAGGGCGGGTCCGTGTCCGAGCTCACGTGACGCTTGCAAACAAACTCGTTGGACTGAGATAATAAACATTGTATCCTTCAAAAGAGATTCGTGTGGACGTGACTCAGAGGAACCTCCCTTCAGCCCAACGTGAGTCATGACAACAACAACAACAATGGTCCAAAACAGGTTGGTTTCCTCTTCTCAGAACCAATCACACGCTCACACGTCAGACAGACACGCAGGGCGCCGGAGGAGACGTCACGTGATCTCATCGGTATGTGCTGCGTGTATATTTATATGTGCTCAGTAAAAGATCCTTCTTACTAAAGACAAAGTATAGCAGCAACATGTGGAAAAGGTCATGATGTCCTTATTATAATATTATAATATTATCAATACACTACAATTAAGGTAAATGTAATTAATATGATGCTCTGATGTACTATAATGCAGCACACATGTACACAATGAAAAATATTTTCACTTTTCTTACAAGGCAAGAAATCAATTGATCATTGGACCAAAATGTATCTTCAGATTAATTCATCATTGTATATATATATATATATATATATATATATATATATATATATATATATATATATATATTATCAAAGCATCCAGCTACAATACTGCTTTTACATTGAGTCATAATTACACTACTTGTCATTTAGCTTTAGCATCTTTATCCAAAGTGACTTCCAATGATACATCACATTACATTACAGGTCATTTAGCAGACGCGTTTATCCAAAGCACATATATAATATATATCTAATATAATATATAACCCTGCTAAGCCCACACAGTGGGAGCAGTGTGCTGGTTGGGGTTGGTTGTCTTGCTCAAGGACACCGCCACATGGAACTGCAGGGTTCAAACCGCCAACCCTGCGGTTGCCGGCGCACCTTCTCTACTACACGTGCCACCATCGCCCATCTAGTGGTACATATTAGTAGTAGTACTAGTAGTACTAGCAGCACATCGGCACAGGAAAACTCCCCAAACAATGAGAACCTTCCAAGAGGGAAACAAGGAAGAAACCTCAGTGAGGACGTCAGAGGACGATCCGTCTCCTGATGGACTACAGTGATGTCATGTGGACAGAATGAACTATATATTATTTGTAGTATGGTAGTAGTAGTAGTATATATTAGTAGTAGCACATATCATGATTTAGTTCAGTGCTCCACCTGCTGGAGGAGGTTCATCTATACAGTGCATCCAGGAAGTCATCACAGCGCTCCACCACATTGTTATGTTACAGCCTTATTCCAAAATGGATTAAATTCATTATGTTCCTCATCATTCTACACACAACAACCCATAATGACAAAGTGAAAACTGTTTTTTGCAAATTTTTGCAAATCTGTTAAAAATAAAGAAGGAAAACATAACATGTACATAAGTATTCACAGCCTTTGCCGTGACTCAGCATGTAGCTCAGGTGCCTCCTGTTTCCACTGATCATCCTTCAGATGTTTCCACAACTTGATTGGAGTCCACCTGTGCTAAATTCAGTTGATTTCAGTAAGGTATCACAGCTGACAGTGCATATCAGAGCATAAACCAAGCCATGAAGACCAAGGAATTATCTGTAGACCTCAGAGACAGAACTGTATCGAGGCTCAGATCTGGCGACGGGTACAGAAAGATTTCTGCAGCATTGAAAGTCCCAATGAGCACAGTGGCCTCCATCATCCAGAAATGGAAGAAGTTTGGAACCACCAGGACTCTTGCTAGAGTCGGCCGCCCAGCCAGACTGAGCGATCGGGGGAGAAGGGCCTTAGTCAGGGAGGTGACCAGGAACCCGATGGTCACTCTGACAGATCTCCAGTTCTATGAAGAGAGGAGAACCTTCCAGAAGGACAACCATCTCTGCAGCACTCCACACATCAGGCCTGTTTGGTAGAGAGGCCAGACGGAAGCCACTGCTCAGTAAGAAGCACATGACAGCCCGCCTGAAGGACTCAGACCATGAGAAACAAGTCTCTGGTCTGATGAAACAAAGATTGAACTCTTTGGCCTGAATGCCAAGCGTCATGTCTGGAGGAAACTAGGCGCTGCTCATCATCTCGCCAATACCATCCCTACAGTGAAGCATGGTGGTGGCAGCATCATGTGGGGATGTTTTTCAGCGGGAGGAACTGGGAGACTCGTCAGGATGGAGGGAAAGATGAATGCAGCAATGTAGAGCGACATCCTGTAACACAGCAGACTGGGGCATTAACACATCCTGGATGAAAACATGCTCCAAAGCGCTCTGGACCTCAGACTGGGGCGACGGTTCATCTTCCAACAGGACAACGACCCGAAGCACGCAGCCCAGATAACAAAGGAGTGACTTCGGCACAACTCTGCGAATGTCCTTGAGTGGCCCAGCCAGAGCCCTGACCTGAACCCCATTGAACATCTCTGGAGAGATCTGAAAATGGCTGCACCGACGCTCCCCATCCAACCTCCCAACGGGAGAACCTGCCCAGAAACAGGTGTGCCACGCGTGTGGAATCATACCCAAGAAGACTTGAGGCTGTAATTGCTGCCAAAGGTGCTTCAACAAAGTATTGAGCAAAGGCTGTGAATACTTATGTACAGGTTGTGTTTTCACTTTGTCATTATGGGTTGTGTGTGTAGAATGTTGAGGAAAATAATGAATTTAATCCATTTTGGAATAAGGCCGTAACATGACACAATGTGGTGGAGCGCTGTACATCAGATATACCAGAACAATCATAACCACAGGAACCGCCAGAACCACCAGAACCACCAGAACCACCAGAACCCGCCTTCATCATCCCATGTTCTTTCACTGTGATCCAGTACGTTGATATTGTTTGTTGTACTTTTACCATAATTAAGCAATATTGTGTACTTTTACTGTGGTCCAGTGTCACTCATTGTTCTTTTATTGATTTGAATTTAACAATAATGAAGACACAAAGGTGGATTTCAAACACATTTTTATTTCACTTGTGTTTTGTAAGTGAAGAAATCAGAAAAACAGACTGTGTGTGCGTGTATGTGCGTGTGCGTGTGTGTGTGTGTGTGTGTGTGTGCGTGTGTGCGTGTGTGCGTGTGCGTGTGTGTGTGTGCGTGTGTTACGGATTAATTACTTCAGGTTTGTATTTTTAGGATCTTAAGTGTGTGTCAGTAAAGCAACATGCATCTAAAAGGGGGCGGGCTCTGCCTGGTTACTTACAGTGAGAGGGGGCGGGGCCTGCTAAACACACTCGGCCAGGGGGCGGGATGTCATTGTAAACCAACCAATGAACTGAGAGCATGGACGAACAACCTGATCAAAGTAGTTAGTGATTTTGCGTGTATGTGTGTGAAGCTGCGGTGGGGCAACAGGAGGGAAGTAGAGGGTGGATGAGGTTACAGCCAGAGGTCAGAGGTCGAGGTGCAGCGATGACTAAAAATGTAAGGCTTCCTCA